TCTGAACATTCTAGAAGATTGAGTTTCAAACTCTCCTCTTCTAAATGTAACACGTCGTATTCACGATTGAACTCATGTCCTTCTGCTAAAATGGTGGTTTTCAAATGAGGAATTGGTCTTTCTATTCACAAAACTACTTTTATCCTCTTCAATTCTTTGGGAAAATGTTTTTCCTGTTTGACCAATATACAGTTTTGGGCAAAAGCCATAAGTTAGCCTATATACTCTTGATCTAACCGACGCCGAAGTTTTGTTTTTTTTGTTTTTAATAAATTTATTTAGACTATTATTCGTTATGTAAGCTACGTTTACGCATTCTTCAAAAAATGGGCAATAATTATCAGTTGGTTCACCTAAATATGGCAATAGATAAATAGATAAATTTATTCAGGTAATTACATATTTTGATAATGGTATATAAGAATGAATGAAAAAGAAACAATTTTGAAGACTGACCTTCCTGAGCAGAGCTTGAGTTGTAGTATCAACCTATAAATAACTTAAACACATACATTTGAATGAGGTATCATTGTTGCATGATGAATCAAACACTCATACTGACAATGTAAATACAACTGATACAAATATTTGGAAGAAAGGAAAACTGGTGGAAAGAGACAGTAATATTCGAAGAGAAGGTGACGTTGGATTGTCCTACTGATTCATGATATTACCTACAATAGGATGTAGTTTATATTCATAGCCTAGAGAGAATTTCGAATATGAGTCCAATGAATCCAGTTCATAAACAGATTTCGATATGTCATAGTTTTGATTCACATGTTCTTTTAGTTTTAACTAGAATTTGTATTTATTGGAGATTGCTCTAATGTCTGAAGGAACTAGGTTTATTAGTTTTGAGCCAGAGTATGACATAAATCTCTGAGTACAAGTTAATCTACAGCGGGGGACATTCGTTTTTTGATGAAGTTCGGCTCGGGTTTCATAATTATGATTTATATTGGGGGTGGGGTTATTATGCATCCATAATATGCAGTGATAATTGTATAATTTTCTCACATCAAATAAGTCTGATTCTTTGTATAGTGCTACAGTGGATTAGAAACTTAAAAAAAAATATATAACGAATATAAATCAAATAAATTGACGACGTTCGATTTGTTAGGTTATCAGGTTATTCCAGTGGTCATGGTGCCCAAAAAAATGGGGTTATGATATTTGTGATTGTGCGCACATAAATGAATGGTACTTGTTACGTCATAATGAAAGCAAAATCAGAATTATCCATTTCAGTTTCATTCACAATGCCACAAGTAGAAAGATCTCATCATTCCCAACGAAACTAGATGCAAAGTAGACTTCAGAAGATTTCAAATCTATTCCCTGATGATGAAGTAGAAATCGCACAGGATGAGTGCTATCTTTAGTGTTGCCAGGTCTACTAATTTTGCAGTAGATTACCTGTTTTTGAAGTACTCTGAATTGTTTCCAACATATTTCTACAATGTCTTCCTATGCTTTCATTCCATAATATAAATATGTTTTCACTAAGTCATTATAACGAACTCATAGTGCTTACAATCGAAAGTTGTTTCGAAAAAACTGAATAATTAGACACGTAATCTCAGTTTTTTTCACTACGAACTTACTATGATGATTCAATTTTGTAATGCTGTCCAGATAGTAAAGAGGTAGCATAGATAGTGAAAGACCATATTTCTGATTAAGTAAGTGATTGCTTCATTGGTGAAAATTAACCTAATTTTTTTTCACTGTAGTGTCAGGCCCTATCCCCCGAAGCCCCGATACATTCGGGAGGGCGCGCCAGCATAATCAACCAATGACCACTCCCCACACCGTGGGGTAAGTGCTCATTGGGTCCGAGAATCAGAATAATCATCTCGACAGAGTGGTCTGGATAGAGTCTGCGGAGTCGAAGAGAAAATCTCTTATTACTATTATTATTTGAAAGATAAAGTATTGCTGTATCATTAGTGAACAGAAGAGGGACAACCACCGTTTCGTGTGGGATTCCGAATTTCATGTTGAGCTGAGTTTTTTTGGATTCTTACTCTGTTCTATCTATTTCTCAAATAATGCATTAGCAACAGACGTACTGAAAAAAAATAATATTTTGAACTGAAATCCAGTACATTTCAAGTAAGATCTGGCATTTGGCAGATGGAATTGTTAGGAGAAATGAATATTTCAAATCCAAGTTACATCCTATTTCATCAGTTCGGACTTTTTTACAGATTCTTTCAGGAATTTCAAATCAATTTATATTATATTAGACAATGGAAGTCCGAACTGATGAAATACACTACGAAACATTATCAACCACCTTCAAATAACAGTTACATCCTTCTGCCACCTGACTACCTGAAAATTCAGCATGGGCTTGCAGTCTATTATGCCGAATATCGAAAACAACACATTTGGTGAAGGCGTTAGTGTACAAACTGTTTCTTAATGAGTGTCCGTTACTTCTCAGGGCGATTCGTCGGGTATTTGTGAAACACAAAAAGTTTCTTCAAACATGGGTGAATTCTGATGTAACATCCATATCTGAAAGGTAATCAGTTCTTTTCATCACTAGAAATTCAAAATTATAATTAGTTTTGCTCTCAGTTGTACATGCGTTTTTCTATTTTGAAGAATCAAAATCATTCTGTACTTGTTTGTACCAGATTTTGAAAAAACACCAAGTCTATTTTACGAAAGAGAAGAGATCCGCTAACACCGCACCACAGTGTAAGCCTCCTCTACCCAAAATCCACAAGAAGGATATTCCGCTCAGACCGATCATTAGCTCCAGAAATTCAGCCACTCAGAATTTTTTCAGATTTTTACTACCGGTAATTAAACCACTGCAAGGATAAACATCATCTTTTGTGAAAACTTCAAGGCATTTTGTTGAACTACTAGGGGTAATTGAAGTCAAAGAGCATGATCAACTGATCAGTTCTGACGTGGAAAGACTCTACACCAACGTTCTGTCGGAGAAGCACTTCAATTCATACAGAAGAACCTATCCGAAGATGGGAACATGAAAGATAGAACGAACAACCGATACAAGTAATCATGGAATTAATAGGATGCTGTCTACGAAACTGCTACTCCCAACTGAAGGACAAACATTGAACAAGCCCACAAGAAGCACCATGTCTGATTGAGATACGTGGACGACACCTTCATAATATGGAACCATGGAAATGAAGAACTAAATAATTTCCTGAAGCACATCAACAACGTAAGTCCTTCCATCACTTTCACAATGGAGAAGGAAGTCCACAACGAATTGCCATTCTTAGACGTAGTGATGAAGAGGACCGACACTGAATGGGAAACGTCTGTTTATCGAAAACCCACTCATACGGGACAGTATCTGAACCAGGAATCCAACCACCATCAATCGACTGAGACAGGAATCATCAAAACTCTACTAGACCGTGTTTTTGAGCTCTGTATACGAAGGAAGGTCTCGAAAAGAAACTAGGCATCATCAAAAATGATCTTCAACGAAATGGTTACTCCAAAGTGATAATGGAACAGGCTCTAGCTAGAAGACAGCAAGAGCTCCATAAGGAAGAGAAGCCGCCTCAACCAGTACTTGTACTTGCCTACATCAGAGGATTGTCGGAAAGGATAAGAAGAATTGGGTCCAAGTATAACATCAGAACCTGTTTCAGATCTGGGACCACTATCCGTAGTAATCTCACAAAAACCAGGCCACCAAACGCTGACTGCGATTCCAAGAATTGCATATACCGGATACCCTGCTAGTGCGGAGGATCATACATCGGTGAAATTAAGAGGCTATTGAAAGTTCGCATTACCGAGCACAAAAAACTCAGCGAGGAGAAATAAGCAATTCCGAAATAGCAGGGCATTTTTAGACTCATCAACATCAAGTGGGCTCAAGCTGAAATCATCCACAAGGAGGAACACTGGCTTAGGAGAAAATTCAAAGAAGCCGCATATATGTTGTCCAACAACACACTTAACCAAGCTAGCATAGAGATATGTAACATATGGGAACCTCTAACCCAGCGGAACACGACCAACTCCCGCCATACGGTCAGCTCCCGCTGGAAACCAATGAGGGAGAGAAGGAAGGGGGGATAAATAGTTAGAAATAGTCCAGTTATCACCTGAAGACGATTGTGGATACTAACAATCGAAACGTCGTGAAGTAACTTGGTTTGGAATCTTTCAATTTTATATTTTGAATTTTCATTTCTTGTTAATAATTTCTTAATTTTTCAGTTCGTGTTATTAGTTCAATTTTTTTGGTTGTTGCTTGTATGTTATTTCATTGTAATTTCAGTTTTTTGCTTAATACAATTGTTTTTTCAGCTGAACTCTTGAATTTTTTTACAGATTCTTTCAGGGATTTCAAATCAATTTATATCATATTAGACAATGAAAGTCCGAACTGATGAAATAGTACTTATATGATGCTACAGACAATGCAAAACCTTCACAAGCCAGAATAGAGAACAAGATTGTACTCAAGCTTCTATAATATAAAAAAATTAACGAAGTTGAATCGATAGAGTATCTGTTGGAGTGTAATAAACGACAAACTGAACAGTTCATTTCGAAAAGTTATTGCTTAACATAAACCACTAAAAAGTCCACTTAGTAACTTGCCTTATTCATTAATTTCGTCTACAAATTCAATCAACAGAAAAAAATATAATTGTTTACTTAGCTTTCTTCAGATGATCGACGTAGCAAAAAATATTTCTTTTCAGTCTACAAAACTCAAAAAAAAATCACTTGTGGACAACGCCTCTATCGAAAACAAGTGTGTTAGTTTACTCAGAACTTTATTCAAAGCTAGCGAAAGCCGTTCAGCTGGATAAAAAATAGTGTGAGATGAATGATATTGCATCCACCCAACAATTATGTCAGGAGGATGTCTGAGTTGATAATGAAAATGGAATATGCCCGATTAATGTTCAGTTATCTAACCATGAGTAGGAATGTAAAATTCCAGTGAAAATAATAGAGGACTGAATGAATAAGAGAAATAAATATTGAGCATTTTTTACTGAAAAGTGTATATTGCAAATGTTACTTCACTTCAAAATTCATACTGACCATGAAAAATATGATAAAACTGACATAATGAGAGCAAGTATTTCTATTTTTGCCAAAATGGCTACTCCACTACTACCAACAGGTAAACCAGCTACAATATGATCCTCGATACCACAATGATTTTCCCCTCGTACAATTTTGAATAATCCTTTGTCACCCCAGTGTTCATTCCATGAATTCACTACCAACCAATATGGTACTTTTTCTTCTACGCCCCAACCGATAATTTTAACTGCGTGCCCGCCAATACTGGTTAAATTATCCTCCTGCATTCTGTAGACACCTGAGAAAAACAAGTGTTTATTAACTATTGAAACCGTGGAAAAAGTTACGTATTATCATTTTATATAATATTCAGCAGCTTAAAGTGTATTCTAAATTCAAAATCTCATCAACACTGGTTTTGAATCGAAATATTCAATTTTTTTCATAACAGATTGCCATAAAAAAAGAAGCCTTCTTTTCAAAAACATATGAACTGCTAAAATTTCTACCTATTTGAGTCTTCCATTTTTTGTTATCCTGAAGGAAAAGATATCAATATAGTATACCCAAACTGAATTCAATGAGTAAGTTTTTCCAGGAGGTCAGAGCCGTTAGTTTTATTGATTTTGAGATCGTTTTTTCGAAACAAAGCTTCAGAATATTATAGAATCTAACCTATCATTTTTGACACAAACATTTCATACTCGTGATTCCGTCTAACTCAACACATTTTTCTTATCAAAGCAAATCATTTCTTTGATGAAGCTTTGATGAAGCTCAGTTTTGAGCTTTATCAAAGTTATTATGCAGAACAAAAAGTTGTATGAACTACCCTGAAAATGAAACCGGAAGGTCTCTGAATTTTGCCAAAAAATATTGAATTTCGAGAGATTTTGGATACTTTTAATAGGTCCTCATTTGTCCTCGAATACTGTAGAAAAACATAGATGATATCTAAGAACACCATTGCAACTGTATCGATGTTGATTTATAGGAGCTTCCAGTTGAATACTAAAATCCGAAAGCATAACATTTGTAAATCCTGTTAATTTCAGGTTTCATAGTAAAGGGTATGAGGGTCGTACGGTAAATAAGGAGTACTTTTTTCAAGGTATTGTGAAAAAACAGTTCATTACTCCTAGAATCAGGATAATGCACCTGCTCACTTGTCATTGTTTCTGGCCAAAAAAACACAGTAATCATGTTTCATCCACCATATGCACCAGATTTGGACCTCTGCGACTTTTTTCTTCTACCATAATTAATGAAACCCACGATTAAAGGGTATGAGGGTCGTACGGTCAATAAGGAGTACTTTTTTCAAGTTATGAGCCGCAATACGTAGAAAACGTCCGGTATTGTGAAAAAACAATTCATTGCTCCTAGAATCAGGATAACGCACCTGCTCACTTGTCATTGTTTCTGGCCAAAAAAATACAGTAATCATGTTTCATCCACCGTATGCACCAGATTTGGCCCTCTGCGACTTTTTTCTTCTACCATAATTGATGAAACCCACGAAAGTCCGTACTTTCGCCTTCATTATGAGACGATTAAAGAGATATAAATTTTTGTGAAAAACTAGTTAGATCGATTTATATTAAATGGAAGGTTTTTTATCGATTCATGAAAGGGTAAACCAAAAAGTGCATATCAGAATTTCTTGGAGAATTGGAAAAAACGCTGATGCAATCGTATTATATTTGAGGGGGAGTACTTTGGAGGGGACAATATAGTAATTGATGAATAAATAAATAGTTTTTGAGAAAAATGAAAATCCACCTCAGTTTTCGAATTATACTTTTTACATGACTTCAAACAGGAATATGTTTGAAAAAGATTTATTCGTGAAGTATAACGCAAATCAGAGTAATAACATAAAATTTCATGACATGAATTAATCTGAAAAACGCATTCAAAAATATTTCCCATTTCTGTTATTTCATTATATTTCAGATAGTTTAAAAGTTTCGTACATGAAATAAAAAAAAACTCTCAGATATATGACTCTAGTCGGGAGTGTCCACACATCATCTGGTACATTAGGTCAGTTTCCATAACCACTTCTCCAAAAAGTTGCTTGTAAGTTAGTGTGACATAAAACTATCTGGGTTTCAAATCACTTTCATTTTGATATTGAATGTGAAACTTTTGAAACATATCAGATTTTTCCCCAATTTTTTTCGTCATAAACTATATTTTTAGGCAAACTCTACAATTGAGTTTGACGTTTGAGAACAGATTCTGAAATAAGAAATTTTCGAAACTCACGGTTGAAAATAATAGTAAAATTACGAATGTGCTCACCTGCGATTGACCTAGTAAGGTAGTAAGATAGGTAGTAATTTATGGATTTGGTAAATTGTGGTTGGTTTGACAGTGTGAGTTATCGACTATTCTGGCTACCCGACAAGAAATTTCCAAATAATTGTTAGTTTTTGCGATAAACATAAAAAAATACGTGACTTTTTGAAACTCTCACCTGTTGAATAGACTAGAAAACTGGGATAAACGTCAAAAGATGCTTCCACAGGGCCGTTGGTCATAATTTCAATTTGAATGTCCTTGACGATACTTGATAAAGCGTAAGGTTTTTTTCCGAATGTTTTTTGAGATTTATAATCGAGAGTCGAATTGTCGCATTGTTTTGTGCATGCAGGTGTACTCGCATGGCCAGTGCAGTTGATTCCTCCCTTTATGTGGTGGTCGCATGGCTTCAATGAATATGCTTTACATCCCTGAAATATATAGATAACTGAAAAGCATATGTACACCTGAAAGAGTTTTTTATGGAGAGCTGAGAATTTTCAAAATGAATCAGCTACTGAAATATTTTTTCAGACCATTAAAATGAATTTCTTCAGTTCTCCAAGTTATCCTCCCAATAAGTGACTATTATCCTAACAAGAATTGTTAGACCAGACCCATGTATTTTTCAATAAATATTATCGCAACATTGATTCCAATCATTCACAGTTTCAGACCAATATTATGCATTTCCAGAGAGGAATGAACTTGAAACTATCATACATAGGTAGGTACCTACCTCTGAACATCAGACGCACCTATATATAGGGTCGTCTAACAATTGATAACGGCTCTCTTATTGGAGCTACATCTGTCAAATTAGTTGTCATTTATTCAATCTGTTCTGCCAAGTTTTGCTGTTTTGGACGAATACAGTATTCAACAACACGGACAAAAAATAAAATTTTAGCAAAATAGGTGTTCTGTTCTTGTCACCATAATCGTCCTACCGAGGAAATATTCGCAATGTGGTCGATGAATTTGAGTCCACTCTTTCAGTAAACTATCAAAAAACATCCGAACGTCGACGAAACATAAGTTCTGCCTAACACGTCGCCACTGTCTGTTAGAGCATGCAGAAGAATCCGAGGCAGTCGATTTTGCGTTGGTCATAAGAAATCAACCTTTTGCAGACTAAATTTGGGACTATACCAATCCACATGAGATCCAGGAGCGTCCAATACATCCCAAAAAAGTCACTGTTTAGTGTGGATTTTGGGCTGGCGGCGTCATCGGTCCACATTTTTTTGAGAGCGACGTTGGCCAGGATATCACTGTCAACGACGAGTACTATAGTACTTCTTTTGGCCTGAATTGGATGATCTGGACACCAACGACATGTGGTTTCAACAGGCTACATGCCACACAGCTCATGCCACATTGGATATTCTGCACGTGCGATTTGAGGGCATGATCATCTCAAGTGGAGGTAACGTGGACTAGCCACCAAGATCTTTCGTTGTGATTTGATCCTATTAAAGTTATTCTTGTGGATTTTTCTCAAGCCGCAGTGAAATGTGAATAAGCCACAAAACACATCGGTCCTCATAGCCAACATATTCCATGCCATACGTCAAATTCAGCCTGATCTATGCGCCAGAGACAGAAAATTGAACATTTCAGATGCGCTCCACCCAGAGAAGCCGTAGCAGAAATTTGAACGATGTTATATTCCACACATAATGGCAGCAAACGAATAATTTTTTTTATTTAAATTTGAAGAAAGGAAGCGCTAAATGAAAGACTCTTCAGAAATAAATATCATAAGAGCTGAAAAATATGAATATATTACGTTATACAAATAAACAAACAGTGTATCTTGATGTTCTCAAGCTGAAACCACAGTTAAATTCAGTCAGTAATTTTCTATGGTCTTGAACAGTGGGGCTTATCAGCCCCCAGAAATATAATATTTTGACAATATTGACAGATATACACATAATTCCAAAGAAATGTGGAGAACTTTGAAGAGACTGGTTAACAATAATAGCCATAATGTCTCGAATTGCATATATTTTGAATCAAATGAGCATAATCGACTATTACCGAGTAACATAGAAATAGCGTGAGGTTTTAATAATTATTTTGTTCATAGTATTAATGATATCGTACAAAGTATTAGCAACACTGAAAGCTGGCACAATGTGAACAATAATTTATATTGTAAATCCGAAAACTTCGAAATGCTCTCTATGATAGATTTGCGGAAAGTAGTTAGTAACCTAGACAATGAATTCTCCATATATGAAACGCTGAACTGTCAAATGATCAAAGAGGTCTTCGAAACCATCGGTCATATTATTCTTAACTCAATTAATACATCTCTATATACAGGAAAAATATCATATAAATTGGAAAGCAGAACTGTTATTCCTATTCCAAAAATAGTAAACACCAAAAAAGCCAGTGAATTTCGACCCATCAATACTTTGCCCTCAATTGAAAAAATTCTGAAAGTTGCTGTATATGATCATATGATCAATTATTACATCACGTCACTAAAAATTCAATTTTGATAGATAATCAATCGGGTTTCCGTAAAAACTTCTCATGTGAAACAGCATTACAGCTCACAATATGTAATATTAAAACTAATTTGGATAACCAGAAATATGTTATGGCCGTATTTTTAGACTTAAAAAGAGCTTTTGAGACAATTGATAGAGAAATTATGTTGTTGAAATTGGCTCAGAATGAGTTTGATGGAAAGGTGTTAGAATGGTTCACTGATTATTTGAACAATAGAAAACAGAAAGTGAGTTTTAAAGATGCACTCTATCAAATGAAAAGGGTATTGATATAGGTGTTCCCCAAGGTAGCATTCTGGGCCCACTTCTTTTTGTTTTATTTTTAAACGATATTGGAGTTTTTATTGAATCTGAGCTCATAAACACATTTGCTGGTGATACGTTGCTTATGTGTAGCGATATGAATTTAAATAGAGCTATTCATAAAATGGATAGGATTTTAGGAGCGGTAAATGAGTATTTATGCACTAACAAATTGAAATTAAACGTAACAAAAACAAAAGCAATGATATTTACCACGAAATATAAATACAGTTCTCTAGATGTCAACGGTATAAACCTCAATATCAATAACGAAAATTGAAGTTGTGTTCTCAGTCAAATACCTTGGTTTTCAACTGGATAATTTTTTATTTTATGACAATGTTATGTTTTCTTTTGTCTAATGTGATTGTGAAGGAAAACTGATTCAATAAATGTTTGATTGATTGATACTCTCACAAATTGTAAAGAGAAAAAGAAGTAGTTAGAAGAACTGAAGAAACATCATGTATATAAAGAATACACCTGCCATAATTTTTGGAAAATGTAATGAAATCAAATAAGTATTTTACGGAATCTGGTAAAAGTACCAGAAAATAGTAAGAGAATATGCGAAAAAATTTTTTTACAATTCCCTATAAGTATATGAGAGTTGTATATGTACCTTTGATAGGCATCGATTCCGGGTGTGATAATATTATTGTTTTTTTGACGATATTCTTCAAATATCTTCTTTCCTTAAATAAGTTTCATGAATATTTGTTTCAGTCTTATCAACAGAAGTAAATATTTTTCATAAAATCATTCTGTTCTTCACAGGCCAAGAATATGGTTTCATTTTGAAATGTATTAAGGTAACAAACAACTGATAAATGGGTTATATTTGGGAAAGACTTCTTTTCTTTCACTGGAAATGTATTCAATTACATGTATTCATTGTTTGCACTTCTCCACATTTTCCTCATTTATTTCATACTACTTACTTGAGTTGAATTTTGGTAAAGTCCACCGCTGGCAAGACCATCAGTGTACCAATATTCCCATGCTGCTGCGGGATAACCACCATCACAACCATTTCCACATTTTTCTATACCACAACACGATAAAAGATCTTCTGCTGATACTAATATCTGTTTTTCACCATTTGAATGGATGCATATGCGGTCAGACATTGCTTCGACTGCAGCAAAAGCCTATAAAAGAATTATTTGCCAAAAATGGTGTACAATATGAGGAGCTTGTTTCCCTAGTTCTATTATTGCAAATTCAATATGAAGATATATAACAAATAATTTTCAACCAGTCATTATTGGTATTGAGCTTTATTATCAGTGAAAGGTACAAATTCTCAGATCATATTTTGTTAGCTTCAAAAATTCAGAAAAATCGAAGGTAGTTGATTTCTCAATTTTTACTGGTCGTTAAGTGAATGTCATTATTATGAAACTGTGACAATTGCTGCAGATTATTGAACAAAGTAACTTTCAGTCCGCAACCTTCCTGGGTCGTATAGCCCCCGCTCGTATTCTCTTTTGATGTACCCATTTTTTTAAGCATTTCTCAGGTGATTGAGTTCCTCAGGAAGACTCCAAGGTTCAAAAATCCGTCGTGCTTTCTCAGCTTCTTTTTGTGGTGGTTATAGTTTTTGTTCAGGAACCTGTCTGTGTGTGCTGATTTCCTATACACTCTGTTCACAAAAACATACAAGACTAGAGTCCCTTGAGATTCTTGATAGAAAAGAAGAAGCAATGAACATCAATAAAATCTAGCTACCTGTCCTTACAGGTACCTACACAAACGAGGTCAGGTAATCCAATTAGGAGAAACCAAGCCACGCCCACTAATAATAATATAAAACCAACTCGGGCACTGCCATTGCCAAATCGCCTTTGATAAAATCTGCCGCAGTACAGTAGACAAAAAGCCAGGCATAAAACCCTGCAGCCCTCGGTCATAAAACCCGGATATTACACATTCACTTAACAGTTCACCTTTGGAATTGAAGCAAATAAAAGGAGTCAAAAAATGAGTGTGGATATATAAAGTATTCATGTGAAAATTAAAAAGTAGTATAATTCAACCATAATAACTTATAATCATTTAACAGAGATATCTTATATTATTTGATTGTGTTAATGTATAAACCTTATTCTTAATTTTGAATGTTAATGGATGATAGTGTTTTGTGCCCACAAATAATAAATAAATAATATAAGCAACAACAAACATAAAATTTAAACCCTGTTAGGCAGTGAATCTGGAGATGGAAATGATGAAATACTTCATATAATAAATGCTGTAAGTGTGACATCATTCAGTAGAAATGTCGATGATTTAACTACTAAGTTGAATGCTGTCCTACATACTATAGTCGATAAATCCATATCTATCGACAAATGCATTTGTTGAGGATGGTTCTGTTGGATTGACATCCAAAGCCTTAGAGTTTCATTCAATAAACCACGCAGATTTTGTATCACGACCGAGGAATGCATTTAGGAATAATACGAAGATTTTGAATATCATTATATCGATGGTTCATTAAATAATGAGAGTTAAAACCATCGTATGAATTTGATATGTATTATAAATAAACATCATTGTTTTTTTTGAGAAATTTAGTTTATTTCTAGAAAATAGAAAAAAAATTGTTTGGTCGTTGCAAGCTATCAAAACCTACGATGTTATCCAATAATGAACTTATATTATTAACAGGAGAATGGAGAATCAATGGGTTGTTTGTAGTGATTTTTGTGAAAATTTCATCACCTAGTAATTTAAAATTGAATGATTGATTGAGTACCTACATTTGTTGGAAAAATATAACTCTTGAAAAAATATAAATGATAAGGCAATGATACCATTTATCGTAATGGATTTCAAGTATTTCTGAGATATTGCGTTATGTAATATTAGTTGATAGCAAAAGTTTGTTTCGACACGTGTTTCGTAATAGATGTCTCAAGAATTTACAATAAACTGAATTAATTAGTTTTAATATGGATTTTCAAGTATCGTCCAGTTCTATTCAATTTTTTTACTAAATTCCAATAATAAAATCAATTCTTGATTCAATAGTTAGGTTGATCATTGTAGTAGCTTCGTCGTTTCATTCTTATTATTTTGTCAACTTATTCAGGATGCACAAACTGACGTATTAATTTCCATTGACCATAATATATGCTCCGTTCAGCCACTTTTTCTCCTTGAATGAAACTAATGTCAGGATTTTCTTGGCATTATACAGAGTGTTTCCTGACTACGGTACGAAACTTCCGAGGTTGACTCGTTGGGTCGTTTAAAAAAAGTTCTCATGAACATATGTCAGAAGTTAATTCGTTTCTGACATACCGGGCGTTGAAGTTAAAAAAAACCGGTACATATTCATAAAATATCATGAATATCTTTACACCGATTTGGTTGAAATTTGTTAGTTATTTGAAAAGGCACTTATTAGCCCCTTACTAGATTGAAATCATTAGGTCCACTGGAGTCCCAGTGAGCACCACACCCAACAATATTGAGAAAAAAGTACCCCACTGACTTGTTGTTTTTAATTGTTTTTCATTATTCAACTGGAAATACAACATTTGCGTATCTTGTGTTTTTTCCATTTCTAGCTTCGTTTTCGAGAGAAAACGAAGCTAGAAATGCATATCATGAACACCTGCTTTGGAAACCAGCTGACAGTGATAGTGTTGTCATATCAATGGAAGTCAGAGTCGTCAATTAGTAGTCATACCACCATGAATAATTTCACTAACGCTGAAATGGATGACATGGATCATCAAATAGCAACGCGGAAGAACACAGAGAGTTTACCAGGACAGTAAATCCATGTGCTAAAATATTCAGAACTGAGAGTTTTGATAAAAATGCAGGTGGTGGAAGACCACAAACTGTAACAAAGCCTGAACTAAAAGGAGCTATATTTGATGTCATAGAAGAAGATCCTTCAAATAGTACTAGAAAGATTTTACTGCAGCTGGAAGTCAACCGAAAACCCGTATGGACGGTTCTACTGTACCTATATTACCTTCAACGGTTCCAAGCTCTACTGCTTCGGAATTTTCACTCAAGATTGATGTTCTGCATGTGGTTGATTCATACCATGGTTCATAATAATCTTTTACCAAATATTTCATTCAAGAACGAAGCAAATTTTCCACGGCATATTTTTATAAACTTTGACAATCACCATTTTTGGGCCGACAAAAATATACACGTTTCAACAATTGTCGCTGAACGTTTGGGTAGGAAAGATTGGTGCCTACCACTACCACCAAGATTAACGGGTAAATCCTTCACGTACTTGATGCGAGATCATACCCATTCTGTAAGAATATGTGCCGGTACTTGTAAGAGGTAACATGTGATTTATGCACGACGGAGCTCCAGCTTATTTTCTTACTCATCATCATCTCGACATCACCTACCCTAATCGCTGGATTAGACGTGCAGGACCTCAAAATTAGCCAGCTCGCAGTCCTGATATCAGTCCTCTAGATTCTTGTTTATAAAACTCATGTACTAGAATAACTAGGGGCATCGAAAAGTTGACAACTGCAATGTTATAAGGAATACTCCAGGTATTTTTGAATATGTCAGACAATCAATAACAAATCGATTGTAGTCGTGTATTTTATCAGGAGGTGGACATTTTGCTCATTTACTTCGAGGTCGTAATTGCTTTTATTCACTTTTGGTTTTTATTTTATGTTGGTCATGGATACTTTTTAGAAGTAATTTTTTTTCTTGAACACGAAGCTTGATATGAAGAAATCACAGGCGACGAAAAAGTTGTATTTTCAGTCGCTCAATCTAAAAAAATAAAAAACTACAAAAAAGTCAGTAGCGTTCTTTTCTCTCAATATTGTTGGCTGTGAGGCCAATTGCGACGCCACTGGACCTAATAATTTCACTCTAGGTCAGGCTTAATAAGCGCCTTATCACTTCAAATAACTGTAGCAAATTTCAATCAAATCGGTGAAAGGATATTTATGATATTTTATAAATGCCGTTTTTTTTAAACCTCAATGCGCTGTATCTCAGAAACTCGACGAAAAAGTTGTATTTTCAGTCGCTCAATCTAAAAAAATAAAAAACTACAAAAAAGTCAGTAGCGTTCTTTTCTCTCAATATTGTTGGCCGTGATGCCCATTGCGACGCCACTGGACCTAATAATTTCATTCTAGGTCAGGCTTAATAAGCGCCTTATCATTTCAAATAACTGTAGCAAATTTCAATCAAATCGGTGAAAGGATATTTATGATATTTTATAAATACCTTTTTTTTTAACCTCAACGCCCTGTATCTCAGAAACCAAGCAACTCCGTACATACATATGATCATAGAAACAAGTCTAGTGAGTTTAAAAAACTGTGTTAACTCTGTCTAGTGTTCCACTGATTAATCGTTATTTATGTATTGAAGATAATAAATAATCAGTGTTAAAGTCAATATGGAGCTCTGGCAAAGATACTGAATGAAATTCAGTTGAAAAAAGTTATCTAGTGCGTTCTGCATATACATTTCGAAGCAAAATATGAATTTCAAATGTATTCTGGATAAAATTTTGAAAACATCTTTTTTTCTTCAAGTCATTGAGAACTATTTCACTTACAATTAAACGAAATTAATGGATATAGCCGTTACGTTACCATAATTGAATTCATCATGAAAAATGAAACTTTCTGTTTTTTACCACTTATATTCGTAACTACGAATATAACTAATAGAATACAATGATACAATTATTATTTTAGTTTGAAAATGTCTTCATAGGGCGAAACTGTATTAATATTAGTTACAAATAAAAGTGTTAAAAAAACGTGGAAAGTTTCATTTCTCATCTCTGTTTGTACCTGGACCAGCAAAAACAAGTCGATGTAGTTTATTTAGACTTTCAAAAAGCCTTCGATCAAATAGACCACTATGTGCTTCTCAGCAAATTGACAAAATTGGGACTGTCTAACCTAGTTAACAGTCTAACCTAGTTATCTAGTTAACAGAAAACAATTCGTCGAATATGAATCTTTCAAATCGGCTCAGTACGTAGTTACGTCTTGAGTACCACAAAGTTCTAATCTTTGACTTCTTTTATTATTTATTTTTAATAATGATTTAGCAACCTCTTTGAATATTTCTAGAGTACTATTTGCAGACGAAACTGAAACTATATTATAAAATTGACGACATTACTGACTGCCAACGTNAACTAAGAAAGAAATATTAAAAATCAATTCAGCTTAAATGAGGTAAAATATATAGCGAAACATACACAAAAGTGAGACAAAGGGAACACCATATGATAAAGGCACAATTTGAATATATCATCTATCCAGAATACTTCGAATATGTTTTCAACTTTTTCTTCAAATTATATATGGAGTAGTGTCTAAATTCACCGGACAGAGCGTTATATTGTTTGATAGAGTTGTAAATAAAACTACGAGAAAAGCGGGCTGTCGAGTATTTTGGAATAATAAAAGTGTGACGGTTTCGTGTCCTCGAATTATTCTGAGATTTGAAAGTTTTATATATTTCATAAATATAATTTGGCTTCTTGTCAATGTAGAATTTATGTGTATTGACGAGTAGGTGGAACGGTCAGGTTTTAGCAATCGGTAACCAACCTGACTCCTCGAACTTGGGAAATATATGGTCGAATAGAGGATGGAGAAAATATTTTCATCAATTCCTACCCAGATTTTTATTTTTTACGACCAGTTTCGGTTTATCGAACCAATATTAAGTACACTGACGCAGTTTGGCAAACAGATCCCTGAATAAAAATTACACAGTGAATGTCATTTAAGTAGGTTGAATGAACATGTACCTGAAGTAACAAAAAATGTCATCAATACTTCATCTGAGATACCAAAACAATAATTATTTAACTTCTATAATCTATCAAAATAACTGAGTATTGATCCAAAACACTACTTGGATTGCTCCAAATACCAATGGAATTTTGGTCACATTTGGTCTTTGAGGGCTTTGAAATTGAGATTTTCATTCAATTCTCTATGATCTGAATGCAGATTATTCAGGTGATGATGGACTGAAAGAAACCATGGGGATCCTACAGTCCGTAGAAGTAGTTTTTCTATATATGTTGAACTAAAATTTATTAATAATTTTTCTAGTGGTGAGACCAAGAAAGATAATCCTATTGTTTTGTTCAATTTTCTCCGTGAATGTTGTCTTATCATGGAGAGTGTTGAACACTGATTCATTGGACTCGTCGAGCCGTCAAAACTCAGGAGAATATATCAACATGTCTGAACCAGAATGAAATATGTTTTCAATAACCGTTCCAGAAATTTTGATGATAATACTTTAATGTTATGTGTATTCGACCAAATGACTCTTCCGTAGTTTCGAAATTTATCTCAGTACAACAAATTCACTGCAAAATTTTGGAATGCTCAATTGGAATCCACAAATTGTTTAGAGATGCACTATGAAATGGAAAAGATATTGATGTAGGTGTTCCCCAAGATAACATTCTGGGCCCACTTCTTTTTGTTTTATATTTGAACGATATTGAACTTTTTGTTGAATCTGAGTTCATAAACATATTTGCTGATGATACGTTGCTTATGTGTAGCGATATAATTTAGATGAAGCTATTCATAAAATGGACAGGATTTTAGAAACGGTAAATGAGTATTTATGCACTAACCAATTGAAGTCAAACATAATATAGACAAAAGCAATGATATTTACCACGAAATATAAATACAGTTCTCTAGATGTCAACGGTATAAACCTCAATATCAATAACGAAAAAATTCAAGTTGTGTCATCAGTCAAATACCTTGGTTTTCAAATGGATGTTTTTTCTTTGATTTTGACAATCACTTTCAATATATACATAAGAAAATATCACAAAATTTGTCAATGCAGTCCAAAGTAACAGTTTACAATACCATTATTCAACCACACTTATTGATTATTATACGTCATTATTATTTTTATTCAACCTCAATAAATTAAATATACTACAAAAACTATAAAATCGAGGGATGAGAGTAATCTTGAAAACAAATCGCCGTACTCCCATAAAAAGTATGCTTGATTGTTTGAATTGATTATCAGTTGAAAGTAGTTTTTACAATGGCTCTAGTATACAAAATTGTAAATGGAATGGCACCAGAATATCTCAAAGATACATATCAAATTCAATAAAAATATTCATAACTATAATACAAAAAATTCCAATAATATACATATAAACAGACCAGCATTCGGAAGTTCTAAAAATTTGTTAATGTTTAAGGGCTTCCACGAGTTCAATGAATTACCTGAAGAAATNAAACTGGATAACGTTATAAATAAAAACACAAAAAATTTATTAATAAAAGTTTGAATTCATGTCACTGGATGAGTTTGATCTACTCATGTCATCAATGACAATTCTTGTGCCAGCATTCATACAGTGCAGACGTGAGCGACCACAGTGAAAGTGAAGTGAATAGTGCACTATCTAAGCCAAAAGGATTACCTCAAAAACCTCATTGCGAGACGAGTCCCTGCTTCCAAGAATCATACTCATCCGATAGAGGTAGCAGAGCCTAATCAAACAAGAACTTCGAGGAAAATACATCATCAAAACAATCAGAAGCAGCAACACAACTACAATTGAGATAATGTCCACCCCCTGGACGCCCCGCAGGGGCCCAAGGAGGATCCCCAGGAAAAGCGCCCATTGTCCCCTGCCAGGTTCCTAGGAGCCCTGAAGGATATTCCGGAACGATTCCACGACATCCTTGATTCCCGCTGGCGATTAGGTGAAAGACAGCTCAGTGCCAGAGTAGGAGACCAGAAATAACTAGTTCTACCTATCCCCCAAAACTCATGAGATTTCGAACCAACCAACTGACCACCTGCAACTATACCGGGACAACCTCACTAAGGATAACCCAACCCATACACAAAAACAGCAACGAGAGAAGACCCAGTAATCCGACCAACACAGGACAAAAGCACTGTAACCATGCATTAACACGAATCATCAAAGACTAGATTGAGCTACACACAAAAACAATAATTATAATTTTTTACTCAACACAGCCCCAGAAGAGGCACTAGCCTACAGCAGGGCACCACTTAAAACACATGTTATACCAACATAAGATAAGACGATAAACTTATTCAATCGATCATCGATGACATCGTAATGACATTCATTCGCTTAAATCCAGGCCAAAGAAATTAAGTTTTGATTGAAAGGGGTACTTTTTTAGGAGAGGTCAGTTTACTATCCTAAAGAAAAATTTTGAAACAGTCTTTCATTGAATGGTGTTTCAGTTTCTACACATTCCTTAATACTTTTTCGATTGTTTCGCAGAACAACCAAATAGTCAATTTAATATTCCTCAATGCATTTCGGTGGAATGTAAAACTTTTCATCGCTAGGAAATATAGGGTTGAACGCAATGAATCTCTTTAAATCTAAAAGACCCAAATGGTGACAGAAACTGCATGCTCGTCGAAATAGTCACAGGTAGCCACTCAGTGGTTAGTCGACGTTTAAGGCACCTCATCCCTTATTGATAACCCTTATTATCGATTCCTTCTTGGGTGGTAGGCCCATCAGACTCTTAATAGATCCGGTGGGGTGATGTAGTGTCTGAATTTATCGCCTGAATAGTTGATAGCTCGACGTGGTATTTTAATTGTTATAAATTTGGAAAAGTATAACTTGTTGAAGTATGTTTTGGGTTTGAATGAATTTTGTTCGTATCTTTGATTTGGCATAGGTGTGAAATATATTTCAGTGAGCTATATAATATGGGAGAATATATTCAATTGAATTTTCGATCAGGACATAGTAACTTTTGTTTTGCACAAATTAATTTCAGTTCATCTTCACAATATAGTTGCCCGATGGTATACGAGTATTTGTTTGCCGTCTGCAATTATAAGAATATCTAACGGGTGAATTTTTAAGAGGTATAGGATTATATTTTCGAAACAACACGAAAAATTTGAAAAATTGATGAAATCTTTATTGGAATCGATAGAACGATCTATATAATTTAATGTTTGAAGATGATTTCATGCAAATGTTGTCCGCGGCTCCGCTTTAGATGCGCAAGGTCTAATCTTGGCAACCTCTCTCTAACATATCGACCGGTATTTCACGTATAAATGCTTCAATATTGGCTTCCAGAGCATCAGTCATTGCTGATTTATCCCTGTAGACATGAGCCTCAACGGGCCCCAAACGTGAGATAAACTGTTCACCGAAGGCAGCTCTTAATTGGGCCATTGTTTCGCGTGCCTTGTGCCATATGGCACCGTCTTGTTGAAACCACATATCGGTCATGTCCAATTCTTCCATTTTGGGCAACAAAAAGTCGTCAATCATCACACGGTAGCGCTCGCCATTTCAGTAACGTTCCGGCCATTGTCGTGTTTGAAGAAATACGGCTCGATGATGCCACCGACCCATAATCCACACCAAACAGTAGTTTTTTTGGGATGCATCGGTAGCTCTTGCAATACTTGTGAGTGGTCTTCATTCCAGATGCGGCAATTTTGCTTGTTAACGTATCCATTCAACCAGAAATTCAAAAATTTGCAAGCGTTGTTCATTCGTAAGTCGATTCATGGTTGAATTATAGACCAAACTGAACAAGTTTGACAATGACACAAGACACGATTCACGTGTGATCTGTCAAACACAGTGTTATCAAGAAGATAACAGCAAAAAAATCACTTATTATATTAAAAAAAACAGTACGTAGACGCTGTCTGTTCAATTAACAATCAATTTTTCTCAAAAAANCGCTTTCTTTAATCCAGATCAGAATCTCAACCATAGTTGAATTCAACTGTAATCTACTATCATGACTGTACTCACCCAACAAGATCCGCAGTTTGCTTGATCTCTAATCATATGAATCGATTCGCAGTTGGCCCATTTTTTTCTTGCATCAAAACTTTCGGGAATTTCAGTATCATCCTTCTCATCGTGATATCGAACAGGTAAGCTCCCAAGTTTATTTTCGGGCCTTAAAACTCCAAGCAAATTTTTGATATCCGATAATGTCATGGAATCATCGAAAAATCTCCTAGCTTTCCATGTTAAGCTTTGTTTGTTGATGTTTTCTATATATTCGTCTGACAATTCATCGAGAGTATTGCCAGCAACGACTAACCCTATAAAGAAGAAAAGAAGTGAAACTCGCATTTTTAGAAATTGAAAACACTTTCTATTCATGTTATAGCAAAAGATCTGTTTTTATATCTAACATAAAGTGAATCACTTTCATTATCTATTGATAAATTCAATCAGAATTATCATCTGTCAACAATCTCAACAAGGTTATTTCCAAGCAGTTCTATCAGAATGAAATATGTTTTCAATAACCGTTCCAGAAATTTTGATGATAATACTTTTATGCGTTCTACAAATAATAATATAAGTACCATCGCACTTGCATCATTTGGGGTGGATGTCCTACAGAACGAAATTTCATGAAAAGTCCTTTTCCACAGGATTCAGTGTGGCGGCTGCTAAGCTTGGAGCTAGCTGGTTGGATGATGACCCTCTACCTTATACCTTCTGGAATGGAATGCACTATCAATGGTGCGAAGTTGAATGAGCGGGTCAATGCTGCAAAACCTAACGGTGCCTTTCACTCCAGTAACATCAAAGCCAACTCCGCAGAAGGCTTTTATCGTTACCAGGCCAGCAGACCACCAACACGTCAACCATTAGGTCGACCAAGGCTCTTGGAAGTTTTCATAGCCCATGTATTTGAAATTGGATTTAGGAGAGTGAGTAATTAATAAAAACCTATAAGGCATCATCATTTCAGTATAATTGCCTTTAATATTGATTTGGTTCAGCAGTTTCGGCGAATCATTCGACTCATGTATGCTCATAGACTCATATAGGCTAATTAGAACATTATCAAATATGAAATCTTCAATTTTACTGCAATGAATTTCTGGAAGTATCTGCTTCAGAAGTTATTACTATTCTGTGATACAAGGAATAGCACATCCAATTTGATTGTCGTTTCGAGACCATCCAACTTCCTTCAGGCTTTGGTATCAATATTGAAACTTTGGAAAAGGAGCTTAGTATAGTTCTACCTGGAATATCGTCAGGAAGCTAACAATCTTGTCGTAGAGCTTGCTTGGCTGAATGAACCACAACGTTCTGCAGAACATTCACCTTGCTTTCTGTGGATTGGGCCTCACTAACAGTTTAGATAACACTGACGAAAGAAGACTGGAAAAAATTAATATAATGAGACATAATAATGAATAATACTCATTAATATACTCACAGTCTCGAATCCAAAGAAAGCAGACAGCTGGAAATTCAAGAAGCTCCAGTGGTCCTCTTTAGGAGCTTGATGTTCAAAGGCTAGAATAAGAAGTTCAAATGGAGATTGCTCTCGAGCAGTCCCACTTTTGATACCACTTCTCCACCCTTTCACCCAACACCTCCACATCACCCAAGACAGACACTAAATGAAGTCAGAAATCAATCTTGAGGTCACCTTGCCAAAAACATTCAATGTCAAACCCTCTCAATGTCACCTGGACACTTAAATAACTCTTGTCAGGGGTTTCTCTTCCATACGAAGTTCATAGGATGAGGAGAAAAAAATATGTGTCAACTTATCCTTATGATGATGACAGGACGGTATACTGGTGGGTGGTCAGCTCCACTCCTATGTGCGAACCGGTGGTTCGAACCGCAAGGCCGGACGATCGATTTTCATTTCCTATCGTCCAACCCGTATCAGGTATCAAACGTTGAAAGGTAAGACCTCATAAGTCCTCAGCTCTCACAAGTTTCGACTTTTGAGGGTTGTCGGTCGTAGGGGGGCGACAGGCATTCTCAAAGCCATCCTGCTGAAGGCGTTTGAGATTGCTCTAAATCAAACCTTATCAAAGTCACCCTGTATGGAAAAGGTATTCGCAAAGAAGTACGCCCCATGTCTATTTTCGCGACTGATCCTTATTTTACAAGAATTTAATAAGGTAAGGAAACCCACTCATCTTGATAATGACATCGCCAAAGGTCAATCAAAAATTGCAGGTGAAGGTAGTTTAGAAGGTCGAAAGACTTTCTCGAAACCATTCAAGGTTGAAAACATAGTCACCTTCATTATAACGACAAGGATGTTTCAAGGAAAAGTTCAGTGGAGTATTGAATTTTCAGTGAAAAGTTTTATATTTTATTTTGCTCGAGTACTGATTTAATTTCTTTGTTACTCAATTGACCTATTAGTATTTGCAACTCTAACATTGAAAACTTGAAACATCAGTATTCTTATTAAACGGTTAATCGTGTATGTTTGTAGAAATATTTGAAAGTTGAACAATGGGTTTTTGGGAGAAAATAGTCATCATTAAAATACATATTACGATTTTTCACGAAATTCCTGTTTGAAAAAATCATAAGAGAAAAGGTTGATTTTTTTCCAACAAACTAGTGTATACGGTTTTAATGAACCTTCAATACGGAAACCGTAAAGAATCAGCTTGAAATTTAAGTGGTCCCAAACTCTTACTTAAATTTCACCTTGATAGGAGTTAATTACAACATTACTCTGATCTACCGGTTTAGTTTCTGTTTCTTTTCAGTCTCATATGATTTGAAATGATAAAATCGGATATACCAATGGGAGAGTGAAGTTTTCCCACACGCTTTTATGATCGTATGATTGGAAAAATGTAAAAAATGCATCAGCTTGTTAACCAGCTACTCTGAATAAACAGAATATGTAAAAAATTTCGATCTTACGATAACATATCAGCTCATTTGATACCTAATAGCCAAGCCCAATTAATTTGAGGATGTTCTTCGCACGTTAACAACTGAATACTATAATTCTAAGATATCTGATTCCATTACATACAGGGCGTTTCAACGAAAACTTGACCCCCCTCCCACTGTAAGTCATAAATGGACGTGTAATCGAAGCTTTCAAAGAACATGTCGATTTTTATTAATGAGGGGTGCTGCGGTCAGCGCCTACACATTAAAAAGTATTTCTTTTGAAGATCATAGGCTGTTTTGAAATTTTTATCTCTATTGGAGGAAGTATTACTTCATAACAACAGTGCCATGTTCCACAAGCGAATCACACCTTTTTTTAACGGATAAATCAAATTTCTTGGCATCATTCGTTTGATTATATTATTGCGAAGATGAACTATTTCGAATCAAGAAAATATAATATCATCTCAAAATCTACCACCTATTCAAAGAGAAAAATAAACTGTTTCAAATGTAGAGCAATATCAACTTGATCTGAAAACATATTGTTTGTTTGAATTCAAAACTGTATCCCTTCAATTCTGATAAAGGCACAATTNTTTTCAGGATAATATTTATGATTTGCAATTGCTTCAAATAAACCAATCATAATATATAATGTATTATTGAATTCCTTCCCTCACCACTTATAGGTGTTCATATTACAGATGAGATACTTTGGATTCAAGTAACTGAAGAGATCCATATGAGAGGAACAGTTTATAAACAGAAGCATAAGTTCATCTTTGATGAAGTAATTGATTATTTTGGTTCCTGATATGTTTGCATAATTTTACTTTCAGAAATGTTTGATGCTGAAAACAGTCAAATATTCAAAAAGCATTTGTCATACGAAGAAGATGAAGCGGAAAATGAAGAGAATGCTGTGGTCTCATCAAGACTTTGAAAAAAAGTTGATTCTCGGTCAATAATTTTGAGATAGAATATGTAACATTTCAAAATGGAAAGTGTCATAATTTTATTCAAGATATTTTTTCTTTCTAAAAATTAAAAAAAAATGACGAAGAAGAATGAAGCAATCAGTCACCATTGAATCTGAGCATTTTGAATTTGATATTTTGGTTAGTTTGGGGTTTTGCCATGATCTTCTTTGGTTACAGTCTTGCATTTCAAACGTTTGGAGATGATAACGAAAGAAGACCACAGCAAAACCCGGAAAGCAGCCAAAAGATTGACGCCAACCGTCAAAGTAAACATCCCTGTATTATCAATCTCCATAGAGATACTTGCGGGAGAGAAAAGTGTGATTTGTGTTTTTCAATCATTCACTGCTGACATAAAAATATTTTAATCAACCACTCTGCTCTTGAAATTATTATCATAGCGATTGCTGATGAAGATACTACCTTCATGTCATATTCATCCCCCTATATAATCAGAAAATAAAAATGAAAATGATTATTGTCTCCATATGTATAAAAAATTTACATTATGAAATCAATACATCTGAATGGAATCAGAGTCCAGATTAATTAATCTTCTGGGAAGGAGAAGTTTCAACTTTCTACTTAACTACCTTGATATAAAAAGTGTGAAAATCTTTCAAAGAAAGGAAGGAAGCAATCAATTTTGAGAAAAATGTTCATAATAAGATGCACAGATCATGCAAAGAAGTAACAAACTGAAAGAAAAAGCCTCCTCGAAACAGCTACTTTCATTTAAACATTGAATTACACAAAAAAAAACACGAAACGAATACTTTTATATGAATACTGAATTAGACAAAAAAACGCTTTTGTCTATCCAGTTTGTATTCCAAACATTCGTTATGGAATTGAATCATATATCATTTACAGGATTTCTACACAATATAGTAAATGAAAGAGGTAAAATTTCACTGACATGGAACACTGTCATCCTCACTGGTAGACATCCGATGGTTCGCCGTAAGACACTTCCCTCATCAGCTCTTCACTACCAAAACTGGATAACATTATAATAAAAACACAAAAAATGTATTAATAAAAGTTCGAATTCATGTCACTGAATGAGTTTGATCTACTCATGTCATCAATGACAATTCTTGTGCCAGCATTCATACAGTGCAGACGTGATCGACCACAGTAAAAGTGAAGTGAATAGTGCACCATCTAAGCCAAAAGGATTACCTCAAAAACCTCATTGTGAGACGAGTCCCTGATTCCAAGAATCATACTCATCATTGAGATACTGTACACCCCCTGGACGCCCCGCAGGGGCCCAAGGAGGATCCTCATGAAAAGCTCCCATTGTCCCCTGCCAGGTTCCTAGGAGCCCTGAAGGATATTCCGGAGCGATTCCACGACATCCTTGAAGAGTTGCCGCTGTCGATTAGGTAAAAGACAGCTCAGTGCCAGAGTAGGAGACCAGGAATAACTAGTTCTACCTATCCCCCAAAACTCATCAGACTCCGAACCAACCAACTGACTACCTGCAACTGTACCGGGACAACCTCACTAAGGATAACCCAACCCATACACAAAAACAGCAACGAGAGAAGACCCAGTAATCCGACCAACACAGGCAAAAGCACTGTAACCATGCATTAACACCAATCATCAAAGACTAGATTGAGCTACACACAAAAACAATAATTATAATTTTTTACTCAACACAGCCCCAGAAGAGGCACTAGCCTACAGCAGGGCTCGAGTATTTGTTTGCCGTCTGCAATTATAAGAATATCTAACTGGTGAATTTTTAAGAGGTATAGGATTATATTTTCGAAACAACACGTCATTCATTACACGGTAGCGCTCGCCATTCACAGTAACGTTCCGGCCATTGTCGTCTTTGAAGAAATACGGCTCGATGATGCCACCGATCCATAATACAGACCAAACAATAGCTTTTTTGGGATGCATCGGTAGCTCTTGCAATACTTGTGACTGGTCACTCCAGATGCGGCAATGCTGCTTGTTTACGTATCCATTCAACCAGAAATTCAATAATTTGCAAGCGTTGTTCATTCGTAAATCGATTCATGGTTAAATTATAGACCAAACTGAACAAGTTTAACAATGACACAAGACACGATTCACGTGTGATCTGTCAAAAACAGTGTTATCAAGAAGATACCAGCAAAAAAATCACTTATTATATTAAAAAAAACAGTACGTAGACGCTGTCTGTTCAATTAACAATCAATGTTTCTCAAAAAATACTCGTTCATTCGGAGATTATAACCAAAGAAGCCCACAGCAAAACCCGGAAACCAACCAAAACGTTGATTTTTTTGTTGAAGCTATGTTTGAGGGCTGTAGAAAAAGACCCATTGATGTAAAAATTGAAATGAATTTTATTTTCCATTCATTTGTGAGCAATAGAAAATATATTCCAAATATTTAAATCGATTTGATTTCTCGTCGATGAAAGACACATTGATGTATTTGATGATTTATTATTGATTATTCATCTGGTTATCCAACAATGTTTGAAAAAAATTTATTGCATAAAAAGACACTCATCAATTAAGCTGCTCATTTAAAAATTGAACAAATGAAATTTTATTTCAAAATTAAAAAAGACTTACAACCAAGTTACTTCACAACATTTCGATTGTTAATATCCACAATCGTCTTTGGGTGATGACTGGTCTTTTTCTCCTAGAGATCACTATTTATCGGTCCCTGTCCCCTCTTTTCTCTCTCCGCTCCACCGGTTTAGCGGGAGACAATTGTAGATACTAAAAATAGAAACATTGTGAAGTAACTTGATCTGGAATCTTTTTCAAATTTAATCTCATTTTGTAATTGTTCAATTTTTAATTTTTTGCTTATTTTTACTTTCATTTTATTTCATTTCTTTTTACTCCTTACACCTTTTATTTTGATTATTTTATTCGTTCAATTGTAATTTTATCTCACATTTTATTGCTCAATATAATTGATATTTCAGCTATTCATTTAATTTTATTTATTCTTTCATAGATTTCAAATGATATTACATTCATATTAGACAATTGAAGTTCTAACCAGTAAACTTCATCTTGAAATATTGTCAACTACTTTCCGACAAACAATTTGAAAGATTTGTTAGTGCAATTTGATGTCCTTGATATCATCGTCAGAAGAAAAGTAGATCTGCAAGCTTTTGCAGATGACCTTTTCATCTTGACAAGATCCACGTCCGGAAGGGTAGCTTCTAATATCCTCCAAAGTACGATGAACGTTGTTCACAGTTGGTGCCTGAAGGAACAGATGTCTGTCAACCCCAGCAAAACTGTGATAATCTATTTCACCAAGAAAAGAAAATTGGACGATCTAACGCCACTTTTCCTCAATGGTGAGGTCATTTCATTTGGAACGGTGGTGAAATATCTGGGCGAAGTCCTTGATAAAACACTCACCTGGAACGCTCAATTAGAAACAGTTTTACACAAAGCCAGACTGTCCCTATGGACATGTAGAAGAATTTGTGGTGAAACTTGTTGTTTAGGTCGCAAACAAATCCATTGGATTTATATGATGATTGTTGAACCAATGATCACTTATGGTGAAACTGTCTGGTGGCCGAAAACTTTACAGAAAACGGCCCAGGAAGAGCTCTCTGGCTCTCAGAGACAGGCTTGTCTGGCCTTCAGTAGTGCCATCAGTACCACACCGTCTAAGGCCATGGAGATCCTTCTAGATCTACCTCCTCTCCACATTCTTCCGAAGAGATAGGCTAGATAGACTGCATATAGACTTGCGCACATTGCCAATTGCAAAAATCAATTTATTGCTGAGTGCAACAGTTTGTTGGTTGACACTGGAAGTCACATCATTCTGAAAATGATCTCTGACCTCTTGCCTCCACCTGTCAACTACGAACTGCCTTATAAAGTACTGTTCCCGAGTAGAGAGGACTGGATCCTCCAGGAAAAGGAAACATTAAAAGTAGATAGTTGTTGGTTCTCAGATGGATCAAAAACACCTACCTGTTCTGGTGCAGGTGTTTTCAGTCGCAGACCCAGGACAGATATATCAACCTGCCTATCAATCTATGCGACCGTATTTCAAGCGAAAATTTACGCTATTGAATTGTGTGCGGAGAGATTGTAAGAATCCAACCTCATACACAATTAAAATATTCTCGGAGAGTCAAGCGGTGTTGCAAGTTATTGGCTCCTACCGAGCAACGTCTAAATTGATAGCAAATTGCTAAAAACGACTTAAAATGACTCTCCTCGATAGGAAGACTCAACACATTATCTCTGGTCGGGATTCCTGACCATACTGGTCTGGAAGGCAATGAGGCTGCTGACTCCCTTGCGAAGGAGAGTGCTGCAAGCAGCTTCATCAGACCAGAACTTGTCATTGGCAACACTTTGGTTTTGCCAAACAAACATTGAACACCTGAAAGGCAAGAAGATTTACGGACTTCTGGCAGAATCTTTCAGGGTTAGCTCCACTCCAAGACTTTTATTCACCCTTCGAAGCTTGATACCAAACAGTTGTTGCACTACTATAGGGATGAACTACGATATCTAGCAAATTATTGTTTGGACAACCATTCTGTTGGAAATGAACATTTGTTATACTCGCCTATGATGTAACTCTGGAATGTTGACGTTTTGAGAAATGCATGCGTTATGATTTACTAGTTTTCGTATTTATCTTTCGTTTTCTCAAAATGCTTTTTTGGTATATACTAAATATTTCTAATTCGAAAGACTTTTATAGTATTTGAGAACCAGTTCAATATTCTCGAGTTGACAGAGCAGAGCAATAACAGATCTTATACTTTCGACTATGCTGTTATTCCTGCAATAAAAACCTTTCGTTCAGGCTAAATATTAGAGTAGGTAGAAATACGGCCTCGCCAACTCGGTTCTGTTGGAGTTAAAATTTAAAACGCAATTTTGAGAAGAGTAACCTTTGAATTACCCGTTCGAACGAGCCGGACTGATTTGTTTCCATGTAGAATAGTCCAGGAAAGTAGAATGAAAGTACCTTATGTTATTCCGTTTCTTTCATCCGATCAATTTTCTCTCAGATCAGTATGCTGACATTTTGTATTTAACGAGTCAGTCAGAAATGCCATTAATTTTCGCAAATAAAAATAGTAGCCACACCTTTGAACCAATCACAGTTGCACAGATACATAATTCACAGATGAGGAAATGTATTAATTTGTTCTTATGATGTACTGTTTGGAACCTTTGGTATAGTAATGAATATTACTGGAGTTTTTTCTCGACACTAAATCGTTATTTTTAACACCTCGACACGTGTTTCGATCACCAAGTGATAATATTCAAGAGGAAGATAAAACTGGAAACTTCGCGAAACTAAAGCTATTTATGCTATACAGATATACCATACAGGTGTACTACCCATACAGGTATACCACCCTGAATTAATTTTACAATCAGCCTTATCTATTAGTTTACAATATATTCTTATGTAATGTTTAAATGTTATAGCTATATGTAAAACAATTTTCTTGTTAACTGAAAGGGAGATAGGTATATCCTACGTGACAATTTGTCGAATTCTTAATAAGCATAAATGGCATCCCAACAAGTTCTACTGTGTCCAACATTTGAAAGAGACTGATTTACCTCGTAGAGTGGAATTCTTTGAATGGTTACTTGTCAAGTCTCAAGAGGATGAACATTTCCTTGACAATATCATATATGGACTGATGAGGAAGGGGGTTTATAAATTGCTGTCAGCTCAACTTTTTTCAAACCATACAGGAGTAATGTAAATCGTATTGCCTCACAAAAACCAATTTTCACTAATTCATATCTGTTTTGGATTGAACTTTTCACGTAAATCATAATACGATGTTCTGATTCAACTATTCATAGTCATAGATTGAATCAGATTTTTGAATAAAATATAATGAGGGGTCCCAATTCCATCATGTTTCTGTTAAAATAATCAAAGGAAACAAATAAATGAAGGAACAAAAACAAAATGATAAGGAAGCCAATGCAAAACTTTCTCTTTAATAAAAATAAAAATTCATGAGCATTCATATGATTTCATTAATTTCAGACAATCCCAAAAGTGAAGATAACTTCTTACCAAACCACTATTGAGAATGTTCATAGACTGAAATAGAACAATAAATTGTTCTTTGATTACATTTGTAATGAATTATGACAAAATACCGTTTTCACATCATTTGTGGAATATTCAACTTAAAATTTTTGCAAAACATGTTTCATTTACGGACACCGTAAATATAGAAGAAAAACATGCAATATAATTACATGTTTGTTGAAAAACTACATTGTTAGAGAATAAAACAAAAATTGAATAGTCAACAATATGATGAGAAAAACACTACTTGTCGGGTCTGGTGCAAATGAGCCATTTCCACTGTCCGTATTGTTATTTCTGAAATCTGGAAGGCCAGCAACTACTGTGCTTTCAATTCCACAGTGATCCTCACCACGTACTATTTTGAAGAAACCATTTGTACCCCAATCTTCATTCCAAGAATTTGCAATCAACCAATAGGAAACGTTTTTTTCAACTCCCCATCCAATTATTTTACCAGCATGTAATCCTACGAACTTGGAGTAATTTGACTTTCGGTATACTCCTGAAATAGAAATTATTATAAAAGTATATTCATCACTGAATAATTTTACAACATTCTGGTAATTTGGCTTTTTTTTTCACTTTCTATGATTCTGATAGATCGATGTAGATGTTTTATCGTTTTTCGTAAACTATACCAATTCAATCTCCATTTGGAGATCAAAAGGTGTAGTTTATGGACTTACTATGGATAATCAGCAAGTGACGACCGAATCAATCTGAAATAAAAGTTGACGTTTTAAACGACCAAACACTATGTAGCATAGTATAATATTGGGTAATGAGCACAACGTGTTGGTCAAGATTTTGTGTATCTTCGAGATCTCATATTGATATTCAATGAAGAATATCTTGATGAGAATAATTTAGTGAGTTTGAAAATTGCATATGTTCAAAGACCATGATGGGTTTTTTCTCCATTTTCTCCATCGCAAGTTGTAGAATACACTCAATATGAAAGATTTGATAACTTGTAAGACCGCTGTAAACTTCTATAAGCTATTTCATGACAAAAAACAATTCTGCCATAGGCAATTACATAGTCAAGAGATTATTTAATGTTTGATAGTAGATGCAGAATAGCCGAAGGTCCAGCTCGAACAGAAATCTTATTTTAAATCTTATATGTGTTTTATTGATCTGGAGAATTCTCCATCAAACATGCATAAATTACATAGTCAACGACATTCTTTATTGTATTCTGCAATGAGAATAATATCGGTAACGTTTTGTGTTGGTGTTGCTCGGAAATTTGGTTGTTGCAATGTTTTTTTAATAAGTACCTAATATGTTTGATGGTTTTCAAGATAGTAATATTACTAACACGGATAAAAATACTTTTTGAGCCCTGAAGAAGAATTTGATTGAATTCGAAACGTTGGCCATGTTACGATTGCGCACGGCTGGTGTAAACTTTGATGTAGGAATAGGTCAATTGAGGATAAGCCTATGGCGAGAAGCGCTTACTGCGCAACGTCTGCTGCAGGCAGCCAGTGATGCAATTGAACCCGAGTTTGTGTTTAATAAACCATACAAAATACAATTTGTATGGGATATGGGATATGTATGATGGGATATGTATGAGATACCAAAGCTGGTATCTCAATCGGCACAAAATAAATAACCAGAAAAGCAATTTCTGGCGAAAACATAATAATCTACACTGTTAGTAGACGAACCCTATTAGCCTTGAATAGACAACGTGTTACCTCAGGGCTAGTACTAAAGTACCACCAACAATCAGCGGAAGCCTCGGTAGACAGGCACAACAGGAGTGAAGGTGATCGCATTACCTACTCTTTAGCCAAAGAAGCGACTAGACTAAGAATTTCAGGACCCTGTGATACCTACGGCCTGATAAGTTCGACAATTGCGGAACTAGCCAAACGTCACACCCATGCTCAATCCCTAAAGAGATGGGATGGAATCAAAGGATGTAGTCTTGCGACCCTGGAAAGCTGGCGCCGAAGAAATATCTGGCGATTACCAGGAAAAACCTATGCGTAATATTAGGATTACTGACTGGCCACTGTCAACTAAGGAAACACCTCAATATTATGGGGCTTTTGGACACACCTCTATGTAGGATGTGTGAACAGGAAGATGAAACTGTCAGGCATGTCTTATACGAGTGTTCGGAGTTATCGTCAATAAGAGAGTGTGTGTTCGGCGAGTCTTGGCCTACACCTGCCGATATAAAGGAGAGGTCTGTCCACCTTCTTGGAAAGGGCAGGATGGACGATGACATAGGAAGACAACTCCTCATGTGGCCTATACTCACCCTCCCTACTCTACAGATAGTTAACTGATATCGGTATTATATGCTGAATGGATTCTAACAGAAACATGTATGTCCCAAGAAAATCTATAGAAAATCTTCATTTGGTTAAATTGGAATATGTCATAGAAATTATCAAGTTTCCAAAGTTCTTATTATTTCATTCCATCGAGGTCAAGATCTTTCATTGATCTTTACCAGGTGCATGCGAGGAAAAATCATAGTTCTTAACGACCTACCTCATATGAAAGATTTCAGTTGATAAATATTTTTCTGAGGCGGCCTGAACTGAGAAATGAGTATTCGAAATGTATCACGGGATATTTAGTGATATGTAACATTCTAAATACTTGGACTGCTACATTTGATTTGATGAAATAGATATTTCGAAATGAAATTTCGAAAAGGTACACATTTTGTTCACAGTCAAAGGATTCAACTGAATTATTGAATCTGATAACCAATATTACGATATTTCCTTCCACCACAGTTTTTTTGCCAATTTTGTGTTCTGTTGCTCTTCATCGCTGCCTCTGTTTGGTCCCAATAAAACATTTAAGTTCTGAAGAAGAGCTTTGGAAGATGCCAGTGGTAATGTTAATTACCTTCTTTTCATACGCTACACTTGATTAGAGTATGTTAATGTTTCAAGAAAATACAGTTTCGAATTGAAAATGAGCAATCTAATATGGTAGCCTAAAAATCAGCATACCTCGATTTCTTGAATATAATATTATCTTTGGATTTTTCACATTGGAAAGAACAAATTCGCATTCAATTCTGGAAAAATCATCATGATGATAAATCAATGAATATGGTCTCTATAGATCGAGACAAAGGTTACTGCACTTAGTTCAAAATAATTTATATAAAAATTTTTTTGTTTTAGAGAATTTGGCGTCAAAAAATGTCTCATCATATTTTTAACTTACCTGATTTATAGCTAAATAGGTCTGAATAAACTTCTAAAGTCGCTGCCACTGGTCCATTCGTCATTATCTCCAATTGAATATCTTTTTCATAACCTATAATAGTGTAGGGCTTGTGTCCATAAGTTTTCTGAGACGTGTAGTTGAGGGTAATGTCATCACATTGCCGTTTGCATTGAGGAGTTTCAGCAATGTATGTACAATTTTTATAAATTCCTGTCTTGTTATGTTCACATGGGGCAATTGAATACGCTTTGCACCCCTGAAAATTGTGCATGAGGTTATAGAGAATGATTATATAACATTTTTAAATTCAGTTTTAGTTCAAATTTCATAGAAAGTAGATAGAAAAGTGAATAGGTCCACTGCGACCAACGATGGTTCATTATGATTCCCACATATTCAAATTCGACCAAATAATCCCAATTCTTCAACGAAGTCAAATACTCCATTTGGTGTGTGATCTTTCAGGTTAGCTGGCAAAAATAGGACTCTACTGGAATCTGAAAAAAGAATTCGGTTCGTGACGGCAGATCAGACACGAAATATGTGCTCAACTGAAAAAATAAATAATCTAGTGAGGACCTAATCAAGGGTCAATCTCCGACTACCTTCTTTAGGTAGATGGGCAACATAAATATTTTCCAGGAAGACGTCTTTTCATGTAGTAACTGCACCCACCAGCCGGAAGACGCTCTTCTAAGGTAACTCGTAGCGATCCAGTCCAGAATGTGCAGCTCTGGAACGGTACCTTTGGACCATCATTTGAAAAATCCTCTATGACCAAATAAACCCAGCTTCTTGACGAAGTCGATTAGTTTGTATGGTAAGTGGTATTTCAGGTCACAAAGTGTTGTTTCATCATTTCCCAAACAGAGGCGACACACACTATCTTCCGACAGTCCGACTCTCTGTATAAGATGATTCAAATGACAGTGACCTGTAAGAAGACCTGTTAGACATCGTAGTTCATCCCTACTGTAGTCCAACAACTATTTGGTATCAAGCTTCGAAGGGTGAATAAACACCTTGGAGTGAGCCAATCCTGGAAGATTCTGTCAGAAGTCCATAATTTTTTTGCCATCCAGATGTTCAAAGTTTGTTTGGCAGAGCCTTAAGCGATGCCAATGACTGGTTCTGATGAAGCTGCTTGCAGCACCCTCCTTTGCAAGAGAGTTAGCAGCTTCATTACCTTCCAGGCCAGTATGGCCAGGAATTCAGACCAGAGACAATCTGTTAAGTCTTCCCATCGAGGAGAATCGTTTTTGGCAATTTGCTACCAATTTAGACATAGTTCGCTAGAAGCCAAGATAATGTTTATTGACTTTTGTATGAGGTTGGATTCTTTTAATCTTTCCGCACACAATTCAATAGGTTAATTTCCGCTTGATATACAGGGTACCATCGTGGTACACTGAAAACATTCTAGTGAGCAACTTTTTCATATGCGGGCATCTGCAAGTCAATTATAACAGACGTAACATTGAATTCAGAAATGCCCTTTGCTTTTCCGCCTTTCGTTTGGGTGAACCGTCGTTTGAGCATTAGCATCTGCTAACTATCTTGAAAGGAATTCGCTTTCTCTTTGCTGATCAAGAATTCAATTCAAGTACTTGTGATGCACTGTTTGGAACATTTGATGTAGTAATGAATATCACTGGAGTTTTTTCCCAACACCAAACACTTATTTCAACACTTCGAAACGTGTTTCGATCACCATGTGATCATCTTCTAGAGGAAGATCAAACTGATCTTTTCTGATCCAAGGTAGATTCATAAAATATCCTGGTCTTGAGGAAGCAATCAGTTGCTTCTTAATTGCACCACCTAGCGTCCTAGGTTTGTGAACAGAATCAAAAGGATGAGGCGTCATTTAGGAGGACTTCCACCTCGATAGGTAGCATCCTACACGACAGGCAATTTCAGAGTTTGTTCACCTCAGTTTGAATGTTGTTTTAAATATTTCTCACAGATAAAACTTGGAGGTTTCAACTGTCTAACTGTCTACTGTATGCAACATCATTCATTATAAACACAACTTATTTCAAATGTTCTCTTAAATCTTGAATGGATGATTCAGACATATTTAACTATTATAAACCCACTTTCAGCGCCGCATTTGCTGACTTGGGGAGATTGTTCTGTGATCGATATAACCAGATTACAAGCAAATCAGTTCTGATTTTCTTAATTCTTTCTGAAGGTTTTTCGATACACAAAAGAACTAACAACGGCTTCAATTTCTTCTTTTTGAAAAATTCATCCTAACGCAGATTATTCTTTGTCAAGGCTTTTCTTTGTATTACTGAAACTGTAGACACGATTAGTTGCAGTCTTGAAGATTCTCTTCTTGATAGATTGGTGGAGAATGAATTAGTAATTCAGTACGGTAGGCCTCACACTGCTGGGGTGTTGCAGAAAGGCCGTCAATTTAGTGTTTGTCTAATCACATAGTAGTCTATGCATGTTGCCTATGACTGATGAAAGAAGCAATCTTCTCGATCACAGTTGGTTTAATGGACTGACGCTTATCAGAAAACAACTATTCCCCTGGCTAATACCACGAAGGGCGTTGAATTATATCCGACAGGCGTCAGTGCAGGAATCTTCACAGAAAATTTCCTGCATATACAAATGGCAATACAACTGAAAGAGTCAACCTTCAATTCTGGAACGGGCACACTTGCAGACCGGTTTCGGGCTTATTAGCCACTCATCAGTGCAAGCTAGTGTAACCGTTTCAGAATTGAAGGTCGACTCTTTCAGTTGTATTGCCAATTGCATATGCAGGAAATTTTCTGTGAGATTCCTGCACTGACGCCTATCGGATATAATTCAACGCCAAGGGAATAGTTGTTTTCTGATAGGCGTCAGTCCAATAAACTTACTGTGTAGGTATATCGAGACTGGCTTGAATGTTTGAAGTTCATTTGCTTTAGATTTAAATCCCTGAAGCGCAGGAAGTACTGGGGCCTAAATGATCTGAAGAGGATTCTGAGTTGCTTTGATGAGATTCATATAACTTTTTTGGCAATATGATCTGAAAAAAATATTCATGTTTCAGCAGCAGATAGTTAGTACTCACGTCATATCTCTCGTAGTTCCCGCCAGTGACTATACCGTTGGTATTCCAATACATCCAAGCTTGAGCAATAAATCCTCCATTGCATCCTTTTCCACATTTTATCCCGCAACAAGCCAATAAATCTTCAGCAGATACAGAAATTTGCTTTGTTTGATTAGAAGCAATACAAAGCCTATCGGACATTGCCTCAACGGATGCGAATGCCTGTAATGATAAAAATTATTTTTACACCGAATAATCAGGCAAATATGTGGCTTCAGTACTGAACCCTTGATTTCTATGAACTGAAAAAATATTGTTTTCAATATGATTGGTTTGTAGACCACACTGTTTATAGTTCACTATTTATTTGATACTAGGATAGTCCCAGAAGTACATGACCTGACCTAGAGATGGCGGTAGTTGTTTGAGAAATGTCACTGTATTGAAAATTTCACAATCTATGTAGTATATGTTTCAAGTTTGAAGACGCTGCGTTGATTAGTATCTGTTTGGAAGGCATTAATGGCGAATGTTTTCGATGAATTTGTGAAAATGGAGGAAATTGGTCATCGCTATTTGATTTTGAAACATTACAGAAAATTAATTAATAAAATGAACAATATGAAGAAATATTTTTCTTCAGGATGAATAATTGAAGAAACGAGTAAATGTTAAAAACATTTACTCGTAGTGAGCAGTTTGCGAGATGACTTTCATTTGCTGCTACTTGCTGCTTATTCAGAAAAAAATTTTACCAGCAAAAATCCTCCTTATTTATACCATAAAATAAGATTCAGATCGGATGTACATTACCTGAATATCCGATACAAATCAACGCTTACTCCACCAAGTCACAGAACAGCTCTCTTTAAAGGTTCATTTTTTATTATGTAACTTGTGCTAATGAATAGGATTCCACGTGGTTATAAACATCTTTAATTTTATTCAAGAAACACATTAAGAATGAAATTATGAACAAAATGCATGCATCAGAAATGCATTGAAGCATTAATAAAAAAAACTGATCCTAATAACAACACCAGTATCTCACATTAGTAAACGTTCTTTTGTGCACTTACTTGACATGCACGTTTTGTGGTTGAGTGGAAGAAAAAGTCTCTTCTGCCGACTAGACTTGACCTCTGTCTTTTGACTGACAATATTTTCTCTATATTCTCTATATATTTTGTATTGTCATATTCTTACGTATTTATATAATTTGTATTTCAGTCAATAAAAATGATTATTATTTTGTTTTCAACCATAGTTTCCGCTGGTCAGGCCCTACGAAGCCTCGATACATTCGGGAGGGCGCGCCAGCATTATCAACCAACAACCACTCCCCACACCTTGGGGTAGGTGGTCATTGGGTCCGAGGATTATGTGCACTGAGCAAGCGCAGTGAGCCAAGAATGACAGCCTTCTGCATCTGTCCTTCTGAGATTTCTGCCTTAGTGCGGCAAGCGGCAAGCCAGTATGATTTTGAGATTCGAGAGTAGAGAGGGCATCATTTCTCCAAAGACTCCAATAATCAGAGTAACCATCTTGACAGAGTGGTCTGGATTTAATTCGTTTTTCTCCTCTTATCGGACGACATTTCGTCTCTACAGGAGCTGAAAACCCCACGACAAATATCGTCTTGCTCTGGTGGTTGAGAAGGACTACATCAGGCTTAGTAGCTAGTATGAGCCTGATGGTAAAGAACGAATAGTTCCAATAAATTCTATTGTTATTATTAGTCGTTATTTGGCCTTCTTGCTTGTTCATCTGAATGTTGTAACTCATTAACGATCATTTAGAAAAAATGTGTGTGTCAATATATTGTCTTCACATTAAAAAAAGGAAAGCCAACTTATGCTTCAAATTTTTTGTCAATAATACTTTTCTGTCGAATGAAAGGTACAAATATTCAATTTGAAATAGGATACTAAGGTTAATAACGTGTAATGTCAACATGCATGGGCTACCTATAAAAACTGCCATCCACTTACCCAGCATGCTCCACAGTTGGCTTGATCTCTTATCGTCCTTATGGATTCGCAGTTACTCCATTTTGTACGCGAATCAAAACTAACAGGGACAGTTGTATTCTTATCAACCTTGCTTGGATGAACTGTTCTGAGCTGAATCGAAGGTTTTCCAGGTAAAACTCCCAGAAGACGTTTAACATCGGAAAATTTCACAGATTTGTGGAAGTTCCTACCTGCTTTCCACGATAAGTTGAGTTTATTTATATGTTCGATGAACTCATCAGAGAGAGGATCTGGTATATCTTCAGCGTATGTTGCCAGAATGAAGAGTATGAATACTGGTAATTTCATTTTAAAAGGAGAAAATGTCACTAGCAAAAATCACTTGATAACGATTTGACGAATTTTTGGTATACTGATCGATCGTAACTCGGAATCGAGTCACAATCACATTATCACTTAGCCTATATTATTATTTCATTATTGATAAGAACTCAAGTGGGTGACATCAGAAATAGAAATTTCCAAAATATTGTCCGAGAAATAGTTTTTGACTCAAATAGGCTTTGTAAAAGATTCATCGAAAAATTTCGAACAATAATTTTTCAACTAGGTTTCAAATAAACGAAATAAACGATCTCTTTCAGAGTTTCATTGAAAGTTTTTGTACGAATTGGATCACTGTGGGATTCCCAGAGGATAAAATGTGAGTATATGCTCTAAGGGAAAGATACCATTCGAGTGAATACAGGTGTAACTGTTTTAATGAATACAGGAATGTACGATAAATAGCATTTCTACCACTAATATGAGAAAAATAACATAGTAAAGATAAATACTATAAATGATCTCATCTGATTGTCAACGTAGACATAGTCAATACTACGAGACATATAGCATTAATGATAAAAAAAGATTTTGGCTTCTTCACTTCCTCATCTTCATATGAAAAATTGTGGGAGGCCTCCAAAGAAAAAGGTGAAACAATTAAGTTCAAAAAAAGATGCACGTCACTCAGTCGGTACCCGACCTTCGAGATTCTGAGAAAAACGAAGCTTCTTATCCGTTCATCAAGTCTTGAAGAGAACACGAAAGAGGTCATTCGAAAATGTGAAGCCTTTTCGCCATTTTTATATGGTTTACCAAAAATACTAGACTTGGCGAAGTCTAGCTTTGAGCTAGACTTCGCCAAGGAGTACCAGAATCTCCTGTAACCTATTTTCATTTTCAAATGTATCTTTGTATTGTTTTTTTTGTATTATCAATAAAGCCGATTTATTATTATTATTACTTCAAGATAATGTGCCACTTAGACCTATCGTAAATGCGATAGGTTCTGGCCTATCCCGTGGGTTGGGCTAACTATCAGGCGCGTCTTCAGGTGGCGGATAGGGGAACGGCCAGGGGACTGGAGGCCCTGTCCAGAAAGCCAATGCGACCTTACGGACGGGGTAGCCGGACTCCTGGTCAGTGGCAGAATTTAGCAGGGGGATGGAAACTAAAACTTTCCAAAAGCCTAACCAAGCTAATGTGTAAGGAATCGTGCCGACAGTTCAATGACCACAGGGTGATATGCGGTCACGAAGGATCCCCTTGGAGAACTGGGCGAAACCTCATTGTAATCAGCCTACCTCTGGTAATACGAAGCTCTGCCAGAGGTGACCAGCTCTTCCCTTGCTACTCGTGGAAAAACACATGAATGAAACAAACACAGAAACAGAAACAACAAAAACCAATCCCGAGGCTGCACAGAAGTGCTCACCTCAATCTAAGGCGGTGGCTGGGGATGAACATTAATGTCCACTCCAATCTACCTCTTGGAATGAGGCTGGACATTGCAGATCACCTCGTGATGTAATACAAAGGCCAATGCGTAAGCGTTTGCGGCATCGAGGCCAAAAGGAGGAAAATAGAGAAAGAGGCAGGAGGGGCAGCAACAATAAGTGCACCCTCCTTCTCTCCCACTCCACCACCAACAGCAAGGGTACTTCCTGCGGCGGGCACCAAGAGCTCCGCCTTGAATGAAGGCACGTGTGCACCTCCACGGAGGGAACCCCAAGAAGGTTGAAGAAGCCGCGCAACGACAATAATGCAGCTGCATCTTCCAAAACCTTCGCGGAAGCCATCGTGAGACACATCAAGATTGCTAAAGAGAGTGTGTGTTCCGCGAGTCTTGGCCTACACTTGCCAATATAAAGAAGATATCTCCTAGTGACCTCCTGTTCACCTTCCTGGAAAGGACAGGTAAGACGATGACCTAGGAGGACAACTCCTCGGGAAGATGTACAATGGGTCACATCTGGCCTAAGTGCTGTGGGTCTACACTCACCCTCCCTACTCTACAGATACAGAGCTGGCCAAATACTTGACAGCCCTATTAGAGCCTTTGACAGGAAATACTAAGTCACCTATTGAATATTCAGGACACTTTATCGAAAAGAGTAGAGATATGAAGGTAGGTCCGGAGGGAAGTCGTGGTATAGCAAGATAGTGAAGAGACAATGAACAAATTTCTATCACATCTAGACTCTTTCGACTCAAGAATCCAATTCACATTGGAACGAGAAACCAAAGAGACTGTAGCCTTCTTTGATGTTCTTGTGAACAGACGTGAAGATGGTACATTGGGCCACAAAATTTTTAGAAAACCAAAACACTCAGACAGGTACCTACACAAAAATATCAACCACCAGCCGCAACAAAAGAGAGGAGTGATTGAAACGTTGCTTGTAAGAGCACAACGTATTTGTTAACCTGAAAATCTTCCTGAGACATTCAATCACTTGAAAAATGTCTTCAAAGGAAATGGGTAGGTACATCTGAAGAGAATTCGAGCGAGTCACGTGACACAGGAGAGAGAACATCAAAGTAACCCCACTTATAGACTGTTCAAGGAAAAAGCTTCACTTACCTATGTTGAAAATGGTACAGACCGAATTGGAAAAAAATTAGGGAGAGAAACATGATGTGAAACCAATATTTAGGCCAACAAAGACAATCCCACAAAGTCTAAGGTCAGCTAAAGACCCCATAGAACCTTCAATAACACCCGGGGTATACTGGATTATTTGTAGATGCGGGTTGGTCTACATTGGAACCACGAAAAGAAGTGTGATATTCGTCTTTCTGAACACAAGAGGAATTGTCGACTCGAAGAAACCGACAAATAAGCAACAGCCGAACATACCTCCAACAAAGAAGATACCCACGTTAACGCATTCGAAAATCCATTAGTACTCGATGAAACTCAAGCAACTATCCAAGAGTATATACACAGGCAGGAGAGTTGGCTGTCCTTGTACATCTTTCTTGTACATCTTGTACATCTGTGCATTCTGTTTCTAGCGAGTGCATTGGCTTGGGATGTGGGGGTTGAGCAAACCGGCCATCGAATGCCTGCTTCGCGTAGCCCCGCTGCATACGGGAATGGCAGAATCACGTGTGGTTCTGTTATTCCCTAACTGAATGGTATCCCAACGATGACTTAATCCTAAGGTGTGTGTATCCGTGCCGAGAGGATGAATGACACAGAGCCTATCAGCTGTCTCTACGGAACCTTCGAGATACCGGGCGCCCTCTCGTCGTTGCAACGCCCTGCCATGGTAATGCGGGGCTCTGCCACGATTGACCTCATATGGAAAAGTTGTCGCGGGAACGAGTATCAGGGTGGGAATCTTGCACCTTAACAATCCGACTACCTCATCAACGATGAAACAGCAGAGCAGTTACTTTGTGCCTGCCCCGCTGGGGACCGAATCAGGTTCTAGAGTTCGGCAGAGCCGTACTCTTACCCTCTGACCTGAAAAACCACTTACCATATAAACTAATCGGCTTCGTTGATTAGCTGGGTTTATTTTGTCGAGTGTGAATAGGTGTGAGCCACAATAAATCTAACCTAACTATATACAGAGGCAAAAGAAATTGAAAAACTCAGGAATAATTTCAATAGAAGAGAAGAGGTAATGAACATCATTAAAATCTAGCTACCTATCCTTACAGGTACACAAACAATGTCAGGTAATCCAATTAGGGAAAACCAAGACACGCCCACCAATAATAGTGTGAAACCAGAGTAGTTATTTCGATTGAAACGACAGGAACAACAACACATCGCCTTTAATAATGTCTACCGCAGTAGTAGACGAAACGTACGCATGCAAACCTACAGTTAAAATAACACAGTTGAAATAAACTCTTCACGAACATATGTTCATGATGCATAGAGCTGGAAAAAAGACCCCTCGAAACAACTACCTATCCACTGNTTAGGGAACTCCTTATCAGAGAATGTTTCTATACTGTTGAGGAATTTGAATTATACTTTTCAATTTTGAGATGATATCGAAGTGTATTTTACATAGTCTATGTTAGTCATCATTGTGCTTGTTTCGTCCTGTTTGTCAATTAAAACTTAATGACACTGTTTTTGACTTATCCTATCTATTGTTAACAATAGTTGAAAGGATTAATAAATATTTTATTTTTATTATTTATTTAAATACTTTCATACGAGTATAAACGTTGAATTACACTTAAGAAAAAGTACTTTGAAAATACCCATTTTCATATGAACATTAAATTATACGAAAATGCCTTTTCAAATACAGTTCATACTCCAAATACTCGTAATGGAATCGAATCAGATAGCATCCATTAGGAACGCTACACAGTATAGTAGTTGTTTCGACAGTACATTTTTTTTGTTGTAAAATCTGATGATTATATGAAAATAGTTGTTTCGCGAGGACTTTTTCTGCCACTTTATACCTGAAAGTATCTTTTATGTATGATCTACACTTTTTTGTGAAGAGGTAACTTTGATCTCAGTTGTTCAATTGCTTAAATGCCTAATTCTTTTGAAAGTTTCTTCAAGTTTTTCTATTATTCATGTAACTAGCTCTCTGATGACGTTAGCTAATAAAAATATGTTCAATAATGTAAAGGTTTTTGTCACCAAATGGATAAATGAAAACATGGACGACAAAGAGACCTTGTACCAAAGGTTAGACTATTGCAAGTTAGCAGTATTTTGGGAAATAATAATAGGATTCATATCCTGAAAATTGTCAATTATAGACTTTTCAATATGCTTCATCGAATGAAAATAATGGCGTTTCTCCATAACTTCCGGTCGGTACTAACTTTTTCAATTAAAATGTGACACCCTGTATATTTTCACATTTTCGAGTACCTGGCATATTTCTAAGAGGAGTTTCCAATAAAGAATTTCTATACCAAAAATGAATAGTTCTCGAAATTTTCATTTGTTTTCGCAAAGAAACTAGGTATTCGCTTCTCGTGTAATTCCCTCATAAAATTCAAAAGTTTGATAGAATACATGATAAGATATTATTGATCCATCGAAATACTTCAATCCATCATCTCGTAGGAATAACATTTCCAAAATGTAAAACAATGTGTTTACTGGAGCTATTAATTTGCCATTTGGTTTTTATTGAAGACAGGATTACAAATGAATGAAAAATGAATTAAAAAATGTGTGTTCTGAGCGATCCATAAAATATTGCATTGTCTTTTCACTCAAAATATAAAAACTATTTTCGCATCTGGAGTGTTGATTGTTCGTGAAATTTCTCTTACCTACCTCCCCACTTGAGACAGGATCTGCACATTCAATATTTTCAATATGTCCACATACATAATAGTCCATAGAAAACAAACGGGCTGGCCAAAGGTACGGCCTATTATTGGCAAACCATCTATCATGAAATAATCATTTANGGAAACCCATCATCAAGCGAAAAATGGCCAACTCCCGCCAAAACGGTCATCTACCACGGAACCAGTGAAGCGGAAAATGGAAAGCGGGGTTAAGTGAAAGTACTCGAACGACCTATAAATAGTCATCTCTCGGAGGAATCAGTCCAGTCAACACCCGAAGACGATTGTAGATACTAACAATCGAAACGTCGTGAACTAACGTGACTTGGAATCTCTCCACTTGTTATTTTTATTTTCTGTTTTCATTTCTTTATTTTTATTTATTCAATTGTTTCATTTTCACTTGTATTTCATTACACTATTATCTCATTTCAGGTTTATTTTGCTTAATATAATTGTCATTTTCAGCTATTCATTTATAATTCTCTTTTAGTTGTTTCAGGGATTTCAAATCATTTTATTTAGTAGACAATGGAAGTCCGAACTAGTGAAATTCAATAAGTGACTATTTCTTTATTTTTTATCATCTTTGGGAAAATAAATTTATTATTATTAACGGAGTAATGCGCTTACGATCCCGAAGTTATGAGGCAGTGATCTATCCTGTTGATGCCAAACATTTTCCGCATCTTCAAATGATGAATTATTCACTGCAACTCTCACAACATTTTATAGTATGTTACAGTATCCTTCACCATTCTAATTTTCATCATAGATGTACAAACATTTAATCCAATTGTGCGTTATGGCACAATATACGTCAAAACTCCAACTTCCTTCGAAATATCGGTCACGTGTAGGGTGTAGATTTTCATCAGCCCAAAAATGAGTATTATGACGATTAAATAATCCTTTTTTTTGGGAAAACCAGCAACTCCATGTATTTCACAAAGCCGCACATGTGTTTCGCTAATTTGGCTAGTGAAACGCGCATTAAAAGACACTTTTTTGTTCTGGTGTGGGAGAAGTTTTCTCTTTAGATCCATTTTACGTCAGAACTAGAGGGGACCCAATTCCTAAATATCAAAATAAATAGTCTGTCAATTTTATAATCCGATTAAGAAAATCAACAGTTTCCCCTTTCCCAATCAAGTTTTCAACGTATATTTTATGGCAGACATCAATCACGCCGTCGTACCGCCTAGGTTTTCAGGTGCATCAATAATTAGAATATTTATTACCTGACGCCTGTTATAGCGCTAACACACATTATCTAATTTACATGTCGGGTATCATGTTCATCACACTGAGCTCGTTCAAACGAAGCCAGAGTTATGTAACACTTTATCTACATCTTAATTACTTCCAAAATATTTGTTTTTATATAAAATTAGCTATTTCAGGTTCATCTAGAAAGTGGTGAGTATGAGTAGTAAGTGAAAACTGGGTGGGCTGAAAATTTCGTAGGCTGACATGCAGATGGCTTTTAGTATTGAGTCCATTCAGTTAACCCTAACCTTCAAAAGACACGTGTACAAATTTCACAGCTGTTGGATTATCAATTTGTAAGATAGAACATTTTGAGTGAAACAAGTATTGTCGAACAAAATAGATAAAAAGGAATCTCGTGCGTTAATAAAGCATTGCCTTTTGGCGAAAAAAATGCTGTTAAAGCCAAGGCATGGCTTGAAAAACATTATTCGGACTATGCACCAGGAAAATCAACCGTTGAGAAGTGGTATGCTGAGTTGAAATGAGGTGAAATGAGCACCCAGGGCGATGTAAGCAGTCGACGCCTCAATGAGGCTGTTTCCGACGAAAACATCAAAAAACACCCTCAAGTACAACAATATACAGTTTGACTATGCAATAAATGATATCACGTTAGAACAAAGCACTGAAACTGAAGATCTGGGCATTATATTCGATAAGAAACTTAGCTTCACGTCACAAATTAATCAAATCATATCTTCTGCAAAAAAATGCTTGGCCTTATCTTCAGGACGTGTAGAGACTTTTAATGCATATGTCCGATGTCGTCTAGAATATGGCTCCCTAATCTGGTCACCTATATACAGTGTGCATATACAGCAACTCGAATCTTGTCGAATAATCTTCATGAAATACATGGCTCACAAACTGGATGGAGCTTACCCATCCCAAGGAATTGATAATAGAGTGTTGCTAAATACATTGGCCCTCTTATCCTTAGGAAACAGAAGAACATATTATGCCTGTATCTTCATATATAAATTGATTCATATTCTGGTTGACTGCCCTGATTTGTTATCTATAACATCTGTAAAATTTATAATAGTTTCTATTCAGAATGTGATATTTTTGTTGTTCCATTTGAACGCTTCAAGTATATAATTCGTAACAAGCTATTTTCTATGCAAGTCGAACTGGAATCTAATTTCAACCCATAAGTAAAATACTGCCCACACCTATTCACACTCGACCAACTGGACCCAGCTTCTCAAAGAAGCCGATTAGTTTGTATGGTGAGTGGTCAGGTCAGATCGGTTCTGTTCAAAATCTGTTTTTCCGTTAATCAGCTGTCGCCCCCATACGAACGACAACTCTCAGAAGTAATTAAAAATTGTGCGAGCTAAGGACTAACGAGGTCTTACCCTTTAACCTGTGATTCCTAACACGGATGGTAAGATTACGGCTCTGCCGAACTTTAAAAACCTGATTCAGTCCTTAGCGGGACAGGCACAAAATATATGATCTGCTGTTTCATAATTTTCCAAACAGGGGCGACACACACTATCTTCCGAACGTCCGAGTCTATGTTTATAATGATTCAAATGACAGTGACCTGTCAGAAGATCTGTTAGACATCATAGTGCATCCCTACTGTACTCCAACAACTGTTTGGTATCAAGCTTCGAAGGGTGAATAAGCACCGTGTAGTGAGCCAATCCTGGAAGATTCTGCCAGAAGTCCATAAATCTATTTGCCATCCAGGAGTTCAATCTTTGTTTGGCAAAGCCTAAAGCGATGCCAATGACAGGTTCTGGTCCGATGAAGTTGCTTGCCGCAACCTGCTCTGCAAGGGAGTCAGCAGCCTCATTGCCTTCCAGGCCAGTATGACCAGGAATCCAGACCAGAGACAATCTGTTAAGTCTTCATATCAAGGAGAATCGTTTTCGGAAATTTGCTACCAACTTAGACGTTACTCGGTAGGAGCCAAGAGCTTCCAACGCCGCTTGACTGTACGAGAGTTTTGTTATTGACTTGTGTATGAGGTTGGATTCTTCAAATCTCTTCGTACACAATTCAATAGCGTGAATTTCCTCTTGAAATACATAGAAAAAAAATGCTGTGAGAGATATTGAATTAAATCTTTCCATTATTTGATATATACGTATCTGTTCAACTGATTTTGCATTCTGGAATCAGATAAGAGGAAGGTTACTATTGAATACAAACAAAAGATAAGATAAAACTGTATATTATTGAATTCCAATGCCAGTCTACTTACAATGTAATTGAAAATACTGATAGTAATAGAACAGTCACGCTAACTCTCGGTATCATATTGATTGCACTAGGTAAACATGGCAAAGCCGTAGTTATATTCAATTCAATACCATATTCGTCATTTCCTCGACGTATCTTGAATAATCCTTTGTCACCCCAAGATTCATTCCAAGAGAAAACGACTAACCAGTATGGAACACTATCTTCCACTCCCCAACCAATTATTTTACCAGCGTAAAGGATGCCTCCCGTTTCATTTTCACCCTTTGTATAAATACCTGAAAAAACAATCTACCAGTTAAATCATCTAATTTGCAGAAAAGTACCTGTGAAGAGTAACATTTGTAAAGTTGAACCTTGAACCCTAAAATAGCATTCGTAATCCAAGCAGTCTTTTTTCTTTTTTGTTATATCATCAGCGATGCTGGAGGAAGCATGAATATATTGTTGAAATCAACTGTCTTTGAAAAATGAGCCTGAGATGATAAAGGCTATGACGTTTCCTCTGATGAAAACGCCATCTATAAGAGCAATCGAATACTCTATCTTCGAATATTGAAAAAAGAAGGAGAAGGAGCGAAGTTTCCAGAGTCCGAACGATAAGCATGTTTGCGAGAAGGCAATGAAGAAGATGCGAAAATTTTGTAGGGTAATTGAAGTAAAGTGTTCACTAGTTATTTTGAATCAATGAATAAAGTTGTTGAATTTCATCAAGTCATACAGAATGACCTTCAATTGAGAGGAGTCTTTTTAAGAGCGATTTCAATTAATGAATATGATCTTAATCGATCAAAAAAGAAGGGAATTCACGGAACAACACTATAAAGAAGAAGGGTGCAAACCGCGGACACGTGTTTCTTGTCATTTACCAATATGGAATACCATCCTGACGATTTTAAATTACCTGCAAGTAACAATGAAATTTGGCTAAACATTAAAAAAATTGATATGGTTCAACTCACTAGTTAGTTTCACAATATTGCTGAATATATTTTTCAAACGAAGAACATACCTGATGAATAACTATTGAAGCTTTCATAAACTCTGAAAGCTGCCTCTACGGGCCCATTTTTCATAATTTCAATTTGAATGTCTTCAGTAGTATTCGCCAGTATGATATATGGTTCAGATCCGTAGGTTTTCTGTGCTTCATAATCCATTGAAGGGTCGTCACATGTTTTAGAGCATTTAGGTGTTGTCGCTGGGTTTAATGATGAACAGTTTATACCTCCTTCTATATAATGGGAACAAGGCTCGAAAGAATATGATTTACATCCCTGAAAAACACAGATGAAGAAATTTGGCAACTTTAAGAAATTATCGTATCAATGCATATCATTTATTATGCAGAACCTTTATAACTAAGACATTAAAAATAGGACATATATAAAATATGTTAATATGTATACAACATAGGCTGAAAAGTCTAGACCCTAACACATAGATAACACTAGGTTAAGTGTTTTCTAAGTATTTTCATTATACAGGGCGACCCAACTTTTCGAGCTCTTTAACCTTTCCAAAATGTTTTAATCCATCAAACCATCAAAAACCGCAAGGAAGCTGACTCCCGGTTTTTCCAGCATCCCACGCACCTTTTGTGAAGGGTCAGTCACCACCAATGTAGAGATTGTAGCGCGTTCAAACAAGCCAAAAGAAAAGCTCAAGTATTTCTTGGCTTACTTCAGGATGTTTTATTCTGTTTTCATTATTTTCGTGGTAGTTAATTACTCTCACCGGATTTAATTGAAATACTCATGAAATATCCAATACCATTTCTTGATACTCACTTTTTTATCTCCAAAAGGTCCTCCACTAACAATACCATCGGTGTGCCAATAAGCCCACGTATTTCCAGCGTGCCCTCCGTAACAACCAAATCCGGCTTTAGTATTTCCACATGATATTACGTCTTCCGCTGATACCAGTGTTTGGTTTCTTCCTTTCGAATGGATGCAAATGCGGTCGGACATGACTGAAGTGGAAATCATAGCCTGAAAAAGACATATTTCATAAAAAGTATTTCAATATTCTCTAACAAACTAGTGAGCAACACCAAAAGTTTGTTGAAGTTCATATTAGACTATTCATATATTATTGCTTTCATCATACATATTTAACATCAAACACACCCCGACTATGCTTGATTCCATAGTTTGCTCAATTCTATTTCATAAAAAAACATTGATTCAGTGTTAACTTCATCGATAATGATACTTTGGAATTCAGTAAATACGTGGAAATAAATAGGTATATACTTTCTATTGTTATGGGAATGTTTTATAAAAGTAAGTCAAAATCATCTCGGAATTTCAAAACTATCCTAAAATACAAAGTGTTCCACTCGAAAAAAAAATGAGTTTTGGCAAAGTTTTATATCTTCAGAAAATAGCATCCATTGTATAATATTGGATGGAATTAATTATTTTGATAGATAAATAATGTTTTATTATTAACACGCTTTCAATAGCTTCACCTATATGTATGTATGTTTGTATGTATGGCTGTTTGTTTGTAACTCTCAAGCTCGGGATCTGTATTTGAGAGAAATATCGACATTATTGTTCAATCTATTCGCGGGCAGATGGCGCTGTACGTAACATAATTGATATAATTCGAACTCACTTTACATGTATTTCTTCATTTGAAAAATATGGGAGAATCACTCGAGAGCCAAATACCTAGTTTTTTAAGAAAACAAATGAATATTTCGAGAAGAGATGTTCAAAAGTGTAAAAATATACAGGATGTTACATTCGAATTAAAGAAGTTGGTGACTAGGTTGGTGACTGTATAACCAGGAGTGTTGGATAAACGCCCTTATTTTCATTCGATGAAACATATTGAAAAAATTATATTTGCCAATTTTTGGGATATGAGCTTCGAAAGAATAAAAGTTTCAGTGAGTAATTTACGTATTGATTGATTCAAGCAATGCCTATAGGCATACATCAACCTCAAACTATTGTAAGATTTCTTGAGTAAATCATCAACATGGAGAATGAATTTCAAATCAGAATCAAAAATTATACATGAATTTTTTTTGTAGATTCAACTATTGATATCACCTATTGGTATCACCTATTTTGAAATTGATGTTTTATGATAGATTCCATTTGATTTGTTCATTGCCAAATAGTATTAGATGACACTCATTATAGTTGAGTTCTAAATTATGCTCAGATGCTTGGCGATTTATTGATCTCAGATCATTGTTGATATGATTTTGAACTTTGCATTCAAACAGGAATATATTTAGGTATCATCTGCATAAGCCTGTATTTTGCAGTTATTGTTGGTCTCTTGAACATTACAAATCATAATGATGGTAAAGTGAAATACAATTCACAAAAGTCGTAGATGAGAATGTGAAAGTATATGTTCTTATATTATTTCAGTTTGTTAAAATCAGTGTACTTAATTTGTTTCTTTGCTAGGATTTCCCATGTCTCTTTATCCTGAATCCGTCGTTACAACAATAGATTGGTGGACGCTTATATTTTGTATGAAAATAAACGATTCCATTCGGTCATGAGTTCGAGAGTTTGTTTTGATGAAAAATTCCCCAAGAAAAGTTAAAATATTTGTTCGAGTTATGTCGTTTTAATATGGGAAAAATTCGAAGTAACCCGAGTTGCTTTTATATTCTCCAATATGATCATCATCTGATAGTAAATCGATAATAATTTCACCAGTTATTACATGCATATCGCTACAACCAAAATCTTGTAGATAAAAGAGAAAATATTCTATGGAGTTTCGTGAAAACAAACTTGAACATCAATGTATAACGGTCAGTATTACTTTTTCATTATTGATACTTTCGTGCTATGCTGTGAAATGCATGGACGTAGAAAAATAAAACGTCCATGGTGAAATGTCAGATTTTCTTCTTCGAAAACATATTGAAGTATGCAATATTTTCACAGATGTGATTTCATTTTAAGCCTCTCTTACAAACGTATCCATAATATAAATGAAGTGTATATATTTTCAATACCAATTGGAACAGCACCGAGAAGGAATTCTCGCCTCCACATAGGCGTCGGCATATTATTTTTCAGTGGTAGTTTTTCAGTTACTTATTCTTACAATCATAGCAATTGATCACCTCATGAAAAAGTTATCTCAACTGAATTTTTCCATGATGGGTAATTATGAAAAACTTCGAAATTTGAGGTAGTTAATTTCCGAGTCGAAAACTTTTTCTAAAATACAATGAAAATACAAATAATCACATTGAATTCTCGTCAAACATATATTTACAAAATGATGGAGGCCAACAAGATTGCTAGAAAAATCAAAATTCTTCTTCGCTATATTCGGATGAGGTGGAATCATCATCGGGTTGAATAACGATCGGATTTATGGAACTTTGCACATAATATTTGTTCCCTTCTTTTATAACGTGGGGCCACACAGTTCTTCCACACATCACTATTACCTACTTCATTGACCACTCGCTTTATATGGTCATAAATCATTGAATTCAATAGCTCTTTTATTCAAAATCGCCCCGCACTGACACTAGTATTTTTATATTGATTCAAGAGAAAATTTACCCGTGGGTTAGGCTACCTACCGGGCACGTCCCCAGGTGGCGGATAGGGGAATGGTCAGGGGACTGGAGGCCCTGTCCGGGAAGCCAATGTGGCTTCCGGACTCCTGGTCAGTGGCAGAAATAAGTAGAGTGAGGGGAACTAAAACTCCCCAGAAGCCTTTGCAAAACATGCCACCGTGGACCAGCCTACCCAAGCTGAGTAGTATGGAATCGTGCTGACAGCTGAATGGCCGCAGAGTGGTATGCGGTTACGAATAATCCCCTTGGGGAACAGGGCGAAACCTCATTGTAAAGCGGGGCTCCGCCAGAGGTGACCAACAGATATATGAAACAAACACAAAAACAGAAGTTACAAGAAAAAACCAATCCCTATGCTGGAACAGAAATGTCCACCCCAATATTCCGCTTGGAATGAGGCTGGACATAGCAGATTATCTCGTGATGTAATACAAAGACCAAGGTGTAAGCGCATTTACGGCACCGAGGCCAAAAGGAGAAAGAGAACGGAGGAGGCAGGAGTGGCAGCAACTATAAGTGCACCCTCCTCCTCTTCCACTCCACCTCCAACAGCAAGGGCACTTCCTGCGGCGAGCGCCAAGAGCGCCGCCTTGAATAAAGGCAAGGAATCGGCTGCCCCTGAAGGAAAGCTCCCTCACTTGTGCACGTCCACGGAGGGAACCCCCAGGGGTTGAAGAAGTCGTGCAACGACAGTAATGTCGCTGAACCTTCCAAAACTTTCGCGGAGGCTACCATGAGACACGTAAAGGTTGCCAAAAAGAGTGAGTGTTCGGCGAGTTTTGGCCTACACCTGCCAATATAAAGGAGATGTCTCCTAGTGAACTGTCCACCTTCCTGGAAAGGAGGTAATTGACGATGACCTAGGAGGACAACTCATCGGGAGAATGTACAATGGGTCACATGTGTCCTAAGTGCTGTGGATCTACACTCACACTCCCTACAGATACAGAACAAAACATTTATCTGAGACTTATCATACTCACATAGTTAGCTCCACAGTTAGCTTGATCTGTAACCAGTTTGATCGAATGACAATGAGGCCATGATTCCCTGGCATCAAAATAGTCAGGAATTTCTAGGCCATCTTCGACGTATGACCGTATAGGTACTTCTAGATTTCCATTGGTGAATCTTTCTCGTTGACATTCTGAATTCTGTTTATCAAAATACTTGATGTAATTTTCGGAAAGATGATTACCAGTAACATCAGCAAAAACTGATGCTATGAAAAGTGTAGCGACAACTAGTTTCATTTCGTTGAATGATAACACGATAGCGGTACCAATGCTTTTATAGATACCTGTATTTTTATACATTTCGAAGCGCAGAAAAAAGTGGATATGTTCATTGATATGCGAACAGATAAATTCCAGCAAAGTGTTTTATCTTCATAAGAACATCTCCATTCCTAACGAATATTTCTCAGGTTCAACTAGGTACTGGTCGATGTAAAAAAAAACAGTTGAAAGTTTCGCATTTGCTCCAGGAATTTTTACTTAACTTTTCCAAATTGTTTACTGATACTTCAGGCCATCAGAGACAAAACTTTTATTTTCAATGTTTTTTTACTTGTAATGATTTTTTCCTTTGTACATTCAGGTATTATTCATTAAAAATGTAGAAAATCACAACATTAGATGTTGAGTTGTTTAAAATGCATTCCGTTGTCCTCCATATTGGTATATTCATCTAGACCCGATGCATTCGAGCGTGAAATTCAACGCGTCTGAGTTTTTCTGCAATTATTCCAGCGCCACTCTAACATTTCATCAGTTTGTAAAACGATTTATCTTTTGCTTCAAAATAGACCTCAGTTTCAACAATAACCTCTTCATTCAAGCTGAATTTCTTATAGGTGAGCATTTTTTTAGGTATGCGAACACTCAGTAGTCGCTGGGAACCAAATCTGGCAAATATGGTATATGTGGCAGCAACTCGAAGCCCATTTCAGGCAATTTTGCCATCGTTTTCATTGATTTGTGACACTGTGCCTTGTCTTTCTTTCACTTCATATGGGGTAATTTTTCCACAATTTTGGCCTTCGAATGCATCAATAACGCTTTATAATATTCGCTGTTGATGGTGTTTCCCTTCTGAAGATAGACGATGAATATTCGGTACACCACGCACATCCTAAAATACCAAGGCCATAACCTTTCCAGTCGATTGTTGTGCTTTCGGGTGCTTTGCACGAAGTTCATTTCTGGATGAATGGTTACGTGAACAAACGAAATTGTCAGATTTAGGAAGATACCAATCTACATGAGATCCAAGAGCTTCCAATGCATCCCAAATGAATCACTGTTCGGTGTGTGGATTTTGGGCTGGCGACGTCATCGTTTCATATTTCTGTCAGCGGCGAGCACTATAGGTCGATGATCACCAACTTCTTTGGCCCGAATTGGATGATCTGGATATCAACGACATGTGGCGCTACGTGCCACACAGCTCATGCCACATTGGATATTCTGCAGGAGATATTTGAGGGCATAGTCATCTCTAGTGGAGGTGATGTGAACTGGCGACCGATATCGTGCGGTAGACTTATTCTTGTGAGGTTTTTCCAAGTCGAAGGTGTATGCTAAGAAGCCACAAATCACAGTGGTCCTCATCGCCAACATAACCCATGCCATCGGTCAAATACAGCTTCATTTATGCCCCAGAGTCATGTAAAATTGGACGTTTCGGGTGTGCCCCACCCTCACACATAATAGCATCGATAACTATTTCAAACCAATGGAAAATTTCAACAGTTTAAGAGAATATTCCAGTGAGATGAAGTGACAATTATTCATTTTTTTTCTGCTTATCTTCATTTTCTTGTTTCTCTAATCAGTTCCACTGTTTTATCTACTCATTAGTAATATAATTGATATGTAGATAACTATCTGAATGATTATGTACTGCTGTCAGGGGATATCTCCTGTTACTCCAGTCAAAACATTCCAAATTACAATAATTTTTCAAAAAACTATTGTAAATAAAATACCCAAAACCCCCAAAGATCTCATTTGTGCCACTGGTCAAAAATGTTGTTTTTTGCATTTGTTCAGATAATGATATCAGATAATGATATGTTATGGTGAAAATATGACGGATAAAATTTGTAGATCTTCCAATAGTTACGAATCTCCAATCCTGAAAAATCGTCATTTCAAAAGTTGAACAAGTCTCAAATAGAGTATTTTTGTTAGATATGCTGCAAAATCTATCATGATTTGGTTTTATTAAACACAATTCAGTTGAACTAATAAATAATATTATTGCTAATAATGAAAGTAAAATTATTTATTGGCAACATTTTTTCAAATGTTGCTCTAATAGTAATATATACTTCGGCTACTTTCTCCTCTCTGTTCAATCTGCCTCTTTAATATGATGAAGACGAACATTGAACTGAGTGTCATTTCTTTACGAGTTTGAAAGCCGTGGATTTTTAGAATTTTTTCCTGACGTTTCGCTGGCGCGAGTGGCTAGCTTCTTCAGAGGTTTAACCATAATGGCTTGCTGTCCGATGACTACCTTTTCGGCTTCGTAAAGCGTATTTATGCCTTGTCAGGTAATCAGTTGTATTTGTACCTGTATTTGTACCTGCATTTGTACCTGTACTCGTTCCTGTACTTGAACTTGGAACATTCTGGAACGTTATTCTCGAATTCCTTGAAATGGGGTTCCATATTTGATTGAGGTGCACCGCTTCTTCTTTTCAGTTGAAATTCTCCATGTGTTTGTGGATCTCTATTGCCTCCCGTACCAGTTGGCTATGGTATACCTGGTTAGGGGAATTACTTCTGTGTTTTGAAACAAAATTCTGTGGTCTCCTTCACAAGTGCGTGTTCTGCCACAGCTGACTTGTCCGTTTGGCCTAGTCTGCAGTTCCTTTCATTCTCTTTTATTCTTGTTCCCATGGATCGTTTGGTGGTTTCGATATATACCTTTCCACAAGTGCACGGTATGCGATAGACCCCTGCTGCTAATAATGGGTCTCTTTTGTCTTTAGCCGATCTGAGGCTTTGTTGTATCTTCCTCGTGGGTTTGAAGACTGTTTTGATGTCGTGTTTGCCCAATAGTTTTCCAATTCTGTCCGTAACCCTAAGGATGAATGGTAGATATGCGCGTGCAACCATCTGATCTTTTTTCGCCTCCTGAACCTTGGTGCCCTTCGGTTTCATGGCTTTTCTGGTCTCGGAGGCACTGTATCCATTCGATCTCAAGGTCACTTCAAGGTATTTCAGTTCCCTCTCCAGATGTTCTGGTTCACATTCTCCGAGCCCTTTCCGTAAGAATGGAGATGACTCCTCTCTTTTGGCTAGGATGGTGGTTCGATAGTGCGTGCAAGTATATATTTGTGTGTGTGGGTTTTAGATACACTATGTGGGTTAGTCTGCTATCACATCGTTCTACTAGTACATCTAGGAAAGCTATCCGTTGGTCTTGCTCAATCTCCAAGGTGAATTCTATGCTCGGGTGTTGGGCGTTCAAGTGGTTCAGGAAACGGTTCAGGGCGTCTCTTCCATGTTTTCAAATGACGAAGGTGTCATCCACGTAACGTAGCCACAAGGTCGGCTTCAATTCAAAAGTGTCTATGGCCTTCCCTTCAAACCGTTCCACGAAATAATTTGCTATCACTGGGCTAAGTAGACTCCCCATTGCAACGCCATCTAGTTGCTCATAGTGCACGGTATCCTATCGCGTGAAAAGGTAAATATCGGAACCACCAAACAGTCCATGGGAACAAGACTAAAAGAGCATAAAAGGAACTGCAGACTAGGCCAAACGGACAAGTCAGCTGTGGCAGAACACGCACTTAGTGAAGGAGACCACAGAATTTTGTTTGAAAACACAGAACTAATTGCTCCCAACCAGGAATACCATAGCCGACTGGTACGGGAGGCAATAGAGATTCACAAACACATGGAGAATTTCAACCGAGAAGAAGAAGCGGTGCACCTCAATCAAATATGGAACCTCATTTCAAGGAATTCGAGAATAACGAACAGGACAACAGGCAGCAAGTTTGGTAATATTCCAAGTTCAAGTGCAGGAACGAGTACAGGTACAAATGCAGGTACAAATACAGGTGCAAATACAATTGATTATCTGACGAAGCATAAATACGCTTCACGCAGCCGAAAAGGTAGTCATCGGACAGCAAGCCATGATGGTTAAACCTCTGAATAAGCTAGCCACTCGCGCCAGCGAAACGTCAGGAAGAAATTCCAAAAATCAACTGCTTTCAAACCCGAAAAGAAATGTCACTAAAAACCTCAGCCGTGAAAGTCCATTTCGTCGAACAATAAACTGTTTAATCTTTCTCTTGAAAACGATCTTGGTGATTGAAACACGCGTCGAGGTGTTAAAAATAATGATTTGGTGTTGGGATAAAACACCAGTAATGTTCATTACTACTGTTGGAATATTGTTCTTTTTTTCAGATGCATTTTCTGCCAATCCGCTTCTTGATTTATATATATGGCAGGCATTGACAAAATGGCGGGTTCGTTACATTCTTTGTATTCTAGTAAAGTTAGTAACCTCAACTTCCAAATTGAATAATTTACGCCATTGAAAATGGGCAACATTATGTCTTCTATTCTTGCTTGTTTAGCTATTTTGTTGATAACTCTTACTATAATTTGCACTTTTGTCACCAGCACGAGGCGTGAGCTTCCCTTCACGGTGTATTTTCTGTTTTTGGCTTGTTAGTCACCTAACCACGCTCTGCTACCATGTTGGAATATTCATGTTGTTGTAACACACCACTTTATTGTAATAATCAAAAGTAAGATAATCTCAATTTCTGTCAAAACTGTGTAGGTACATACATGAAGTCAAAAACGGTCATGATTGAAATGGTTTGTTGACGTCATTATTGTTTACACTATTGGGCAGCAGATGGCGTTACGCATAATGAAAATGAAAGAGAATACAATTTATTATTCAACATATTACAATAACTACACCAAAGGCTCCAAACAATACATCACATGACCACCAGTATTGATAGAAACAAAACTTTTACTCCTCACTATCCAGCCTTCACGTGATCTCTGGGTAAAATGAGACATATTGTAAGGATTTGAAGAAACTGGTGCAGTAGTAAAATGTTTAAAATAAATTTCATGCACTTAAAGTGAAACTCATCCATATATTGAAACTGGGTTACCTCTAGAAAAGTCTCTCTCACGATCAGAAAAATTTTGAAACTGTATTTTCACTCTCACAATCTGGTAATAAATGAATTTGATTATCGAAACTCATAGCAAATTGGATCGCAAGTAATAAATAAAATAAAAAAGTAT